AATTCTTTTTCAGTGGTGACAAAATGAAGTAATAATAACTGTGCAAGTAATAGTTATAAATATAATTATGTTCCCGATGCACAACTAAGGTTGTATTTCATAATTATTAAAATTTTCAATACTGAATAAGAAACCGTATGGTATATAAAATTAAACTACATTTTAGCAAAATGAAAAAAGGTCTTAAATCTGTGTCACCAACTGCATGGGATTCAATTGTTCCATGTAATAAAACTTACAAGTTGGTACTGGAATTTCTTAATCAAGGAAGTTCATTGCTTATAATATACCTGAATGCATGCAGAAAAAACAGGTTTTAACTAGAACTGAACCAAAGAATGCTTAAAAGGTACATTCATGCATGCCAATATATTGTTACAAACTAAATTTGATTCCATACTAAATCTTATTACCATATGTTATTAAAGTAAATAAATATTTTGATATAACATTTTAATAATTTTTGCTGTTTTTTTATTTACTTGACTTTAATAATACACAATTTGAGTTACAATGAAACAATTTTCAATCATTCCTTGTGATTTTTTTTTAAAAATAGAAAAATAAAATGTAAGCATAATGGTAAGGTAATGGTGTATGCTTAAAAACAGCAAAAAAAACCCCAAAAGACATTTCTATAATATATACCTCATTATATGTTGAACTTGAAGGATTGGTATTTGTATGTAGAAAATGGAATATTTGAATACTGAGAAGGTACAGGTAAGTAAAATCTGCAGTTATTAAAAAATTGTTGGATTTTCCAAGATGAAATATAGTAAATGCTGTGTTATGGTTATGAAGAAAACAATAGAAAATTTAAAAAAAAACCCTGGAGGATTATATTTTTTTTTTCAGAAATAATTTTATATTCATTAAAAAGAGTTTTAAAAGTAAAAGAAAGATTAAAATCTCAGAAGTTGATTTCAGTATTTTCGGTTAACAGATTGATAAAAAAAATCAGGTAAAAAATCTTACATGATTATTGGTCTGTATTTAACAGCTGTTTAATGTCTATATTTAGCATACTTTATTGACGGAATCAGAAATATGGTTTGAACTGGTCAGCCTAAGTGTTCTATTAAATGACTGTTTAATTTTGTTGTACAAAAAGCTTTTGTTTGCCTTTTGATTTATTGATTTATTCTTACAGTATTCTTAACTTTTAAACTTTTAATAGTTAGAAATACAACATTATCTTATTTGTTAATAAAACTGTATTTACACGGACTTTAATGTAATTAAAGTCTTAGGTATTTTTCAACTAATACAGGCTTGGCAGGGAAAAAATGCAATTTAAACAAATGTTACGAAATAATTTGTCATTGCTTCTTAAAATAGTGGCAACAAGAGTTATGTGTTTTAAGTACTTCTATGGAAAATCTTTCTTGTGCCATATTTTGACCTTAAACGATTATTATATCGTGGAAGTGAACGGTCAATATATTATTTCTGGCAACATGTCTAGACTGTAACCTAAGATAAAACAATTGGTTAGTGGAAATATTAAGTTGTTTTCTTTTATTGATACAAGTTAAAACATAATTTGATGAACTGGATATTGAACCTTGATATTAATTGGTTACCAATAATCTTAGGGTGATTAATAAGTATTTTGAAATTACAGAAAAAGTATTGTAGTTTTACAATATATTAAAATTTTTGTATTTTGTTCACTTTAGTCTTATACTATTATCTAAAATAAAATGGTGCTTTTTTAGTTTTTCCTCTCACTTTTCATTTTACTTTGAAAATGATAGTGACAAAAAAATTTGACATTATTGACAGACCTTAGACTAAATGTTGCAGTTTTCTTTTTTAATAGAAAAATGTTTTATAAGCAAAATGTTTTATAAGCATTCAACAATTTTTGCTCACTAGTTATGTTGTTTTACCTGAAACTTGCACAATATGTTTTATACAATCATGTTGTGCGTGTAGAAATGACAATTTTATTTCACTTTTCTTTGATCTATTTTTTTACAGGCCTATCTTTAGTACATACCATTTATCAACATTAATTACACAAACATAATAAAAAAAACCAAAAAAAACCCCCATAAAACTTCATTTTAACTTATTTTCAAAGTCCTTAAAATCATCCATAACGGTTTTATGAGGATGATATTATATTTGTAAAGGTGAATTTGTTGTCCTTGTTTATGCTCAATTTCCTTCCATTAACAAACATTACAATACTGGTATAGAATAGCACAGACCCATGAAGTTTGTGACAGGCTCAAATTACTCAAAACCCATTTCCACTATCAAATATCACATTACCCCTCAGCAACACAGTTTTAGTTTCAAGGTTTAATACCGATTTGTCTTTTTATGTTGATGTTGGTTTTTTTTTATCTCTTTTCTCCCCCTTTTATATATATAATTATATATATTTATATATGTCATTGCCTAGCGGTTGTCAAAGAACTCGCTAAAAATCAAGCAAGTGATCCCGGCAATGTAGATAGTGAAATATGTACACGTAGTTTAAGGTTTGATACTGGTATATCTTTTTGTGTTGATGTGGCTGTTGTTTTTAGCTTTTTCTTCCCTTTACATATATAAAAGAAGTTTGATTCCTTGTGTGGATCTCATATAAAAAGTAGGTTTTGGGAATTGCAGAATTTAAATTATGTTAAATTTTTATGCGATATCATATTATAGGCTACTGTCTGAGGATATGTAAAAGCATTGAAAGCGCTTAATAAATAAATATATGTCAATGCCTGTTGTAAAAAAGACTCACTGTTTTAATCAAGCAAGTGATTTGTGATCATTGACCTCAGCAATGTAGGTAGCAAAATAAGTAGAAAAACACAGACAGATTGAGAAAATGCAAAAATATTACAATATAACAAATACATAGTTACATTTTGTATTGCAAACATGAAAAATGCAATGTCTTTAACAGAAATATTTCTTAATTCACATCTTCAACTAAATTTAAGATGCAACAGGAGAAAATAAAGATCATATCTATGCATCATACAACATATATTTCTTTCATAGATGGTTTTCACTTGAGGGTAAAATTTGATACAGTTTTTTTGTTACGCAAAGTGTTACTGCACTATTTAATGTAAACAAAGTTATGTACTTTATTCTATAATGCAATACAGTAGTTGTATTTGATGGTTAACCAACTTTTATATTGTCAAATATTTGTGGTAAAACGTAAAAGTTGGACAATTTTCTAGTTTTAAGTGATAGCAATAAATTTTTTGACTACCTTTTTTTTTTATCGTAGTTCATCAATGAGGACAACAATTTCAATTAGTATAAAGTTACATGAAGTGTTTGAAATTCCATTTTATTGTATTTGTATGATAATATAATGAAACCTAAGGTGTTTCAAATTGCTAAATTGTACTGTCTGTGAATTAGGTGACATATCCTTGAATAATTAACTCATTAACTCCTTTATAGTTGTCTTAATAAGTTTGTTAATTGCAATTATTATTTTCCCTGTCCTGGTTTTTCCCTGTACTTTTTTCGCCCCTTTTTTATTCCAGTGTCCTGCTGGTTGCCTATCTTTTGGTTAGGTGCGGCTGTATTTCATGAATATCGCTCTACTTTATAATTATAATCTTGATACTAATATTATCTAGTATTATCCTATATATCTATTTTGTTGTACTTTTACACTTTATTTCCTTTTCGAAGGTAATTTTAGACTACAGTCGTGTAACATACTTTAACCACGTAAAAGATAGTCAGGTCTTAAAAGGAGATTAATGTTGTATTTCTTAAACGTTTAACATTGACAGATCAGTACGATACTTAATATGATAAAGGACAGATTACTTTATAATAGTACATACCCCATTTTATTGATATGTTAAAGCGAGAGAGTACGTGCTGCGGCCCTATATTATGTTTTGAAGTCTCTGGAAAGATTGTTATAATTCCACAATATTTTCACTTTATTTTTGGTAATAAGAAAAGAGCCAGTCGGAAATGATTTATTATAGTTCCATTTCTGGCAGCAAATTTGTCTGATATTGTTCTTGGCATGTATTACAAGAAATGGGGAACATTCCTTATTTTGGCTACTGATAATAACTGTAGATTATAAAATAAAGAAACACAAACAAACTTACAAAAACTGTGTTTGATCTAAATTTATATAAATTACATGTCACTGACTTGTAGAAAAAGCTTTTAATATTTTATTTATTTATTTCATGAAATTAATTTTGTTGGCCATAGGATTTAACAGTGTTTAAATCATGTACTGGTGCTGGCAGTCATGATATTTTTATTTTGTTTATATTCCAAATCAATACATTGTAAATACACTTTCATGATGATGCAACGCAATACAATAAATAAAAACAGGATACCAATTATGTTTGTATGTTATTTAATTGGAATGTTGTGTTAGATTAATCAACAGCAAATCCGTGATTGTAATACGCCACAATGTTGTTCATACATGTATAAAACAATCATAGTGAGAAAGTTAATTTTTGTGGCTTTGTCATTTTCTTCCATGAATAAGTAAACAAACTAATTATGACCATGACTCAGCTAGTCAAATGACAATTTTATCATCTTCTGTATTTCTTAATAGAAAAAAATCATTAATTTTCTTTCTAATTAATGATGTTTTTTGTCATTTATTGAGAGCATTTTTTTGGGTTAATTGAACATTTGTTTCAATATTATAAATTTTGGAACAGGAGATAGAAAATATTGTTTCAGTTTTTTATTGTTTAGCATTTAGATTACAATACTTCATAATGAAGACTTTGGTATGAAATTCATATACTTTTTTTAACTAAAATTGATTTGAAAAAAATTAAACTTTGGAGCTGTAAGGGGTTTTAATTTATAAAATTAATGCTATTGCAAGTGTCAGGCCAGCTAATTTTTCCGTCATTCAATGATTGGTTTGAGAAAAAAAGGGCTGCAAGCACCAGTAATTTATATGAAATGTATTAATTTGTGTATTGTTATAATTTATGATGAAGGATTCAATATTATTCTATTTTCAGCCATCAACAAATGACTGGAAAAGAACGTGGTGGGAATCGTTTGAGGAGACCCCATTATATGCAGCTATATGGACGTACCTTGGCTACGGTCTTCTTGTGTTAGTCGGTCACATCAGAGATTTCTTCCGAAATATAGGTCTAGAGAGACAAAAATCCTGCACAGAACCAAAACTTCCAGTAAGAATAATTTCTACATATATGTTTCCCATTTAAATTTTATATATTAGCTAAACCAGTAGTAGATTATTTATTCGATATCAGTGGTTTGTTCTCATATAACATGTACCACAGGTTAGAGTTTATACATATAATATCTTCTTTTGAAGTGAATTATTGATAATATACATATTTGAGTATTGCTCTTTTTTATGCCTGAAATAATGCACAGAAGGGGACCCAAGGTCTTCCTACACCAGTAAAAGTGTAAAGTCGCCACATGACCTATACAGTTTTTGTGTGACGTTCGCCCCCTCCAAAAAAAAGACAGAAATTCAATGTTTTTCTAAAAATGCTCATGATTAATACAGTGTACACGCTGCAGGGAGGCCCTCTGTAAAGCAATTCCCCCCTTTAGAAGGTCTTAGGGTACATTACTCTGTATTTCATGTTTGACAAAGTTATGCCCCTTTATAAAGTATTTATATTTATGTTTAGTATGACATGTAATATAACATGTATCCCTGTCAGCTTTTGTGAAGGACATTGATGAAATATACGCAGACCCATTTCTCCTATAACTAAACAATGTAAAGATTATGACGGAAGTCTCCATGTAACCTGTGGCTATGACCTGAAATTACTTTTGCAAACTAATAAATCATTCATTTCACAAAGATATAAAACATGGTTCAATAAAGAGTCCGTTGAACTAGTTTGTTGCAGGGTTTGCAACAGTATTGGTTAATATATGTGGCTGAAATGTGGTTACCATATAATTATTGTGAACCTGAATCAAAATTGGATCAAGTAACCTCTATAAAGTGGAGATATATCGATCAAGGTCACATATCACTATGGAAACGTGTAAATATTTACAATGCATGATGGGCTTTAAATTCATCGGGGTAGAGAGATTTATAGCATTTTGTATTTATATGCTGTACAATTATTTACTGTGATTATCTTATTTACTGTCCTTGTAAAGGAAGAAAAAAAAGCGTGAATTTATTGAACTTACGCAAGAAAAAAAGCGGGACTTCATTGAAGGGCCTTTGATTGTATGAAAGTGTCAGGCTGGTTTAGAGGTAGATTCCCGAGATATGCAGTGTAAACATTGAGAGAGCTTGAAATGTTTGGTTTTGGATCATTAAAAGGCCTTCCGTTGTAAATTGTAATCTGAGGAATGCTGTTTGTCATTATAAAAGGTCTTATAAGCTCCGATATCGGTACACTACAGTAGTTTATTTTTTCGTACCAATAGGACTACTTTTCAGGCGGAAATAAAATATAAAAAATTCAGCCATAAATAGTCTCACAAATCAGTATTTAAATTTCTATAAACTTGTTTGAACATTATCTATCTCCATTGTTTTTAATAATGAGGAAACATTCAGTTCGGTTTAATGTTTTTTGTAAATGACTTTGTATTTTGGCTGTTAAAAAATCTTTAAAAGGGAATCAGGTGACACTTTAATGGATAAATGTAATTTTCTGTGCTTCAAAATGGGGATGGACCCTCAGAAAAAACTTATATAAATTCATTATTCCGTACACAACACTGATTGGTCATAGAATCTGTAAATTAACACCAATATGGTTCCCATTTAAGTCTATATGCACTTAATTAAAAAAAAAAACAAAAAACAAAAATATATCAAAAAATAACATTATAGACAGAGACAGTAAATCAAATGGTCATTAAGATCAAATAGAATTGTAGGTAAAAAAATGACATAGCAGAATTTTAGAATTTTAACTCTGAACATTTGATAGTTTATATTTAAGATTTTACAAGTTTTAAAAAAATACCTTTTTATGAATTGTAGAAAAAAAAATCACTTTAGATTTAAACACATTTTTTCCATTTTTATCATAAATGTAAGATTCACAACTTGCCAGAAACATTGAAGGCTTAAAAAAAAAAAAAAAAATTATAAGGAAACTTAATAAAAAAGTGAATGTGAAAAAAATGTGAAAGAGCAAAAAGTATGATGAAATCTGTTTGATCGCAGGTGATTGTAGTATTTATTTTTTGCTGTAGTTATCTTGTCAACAGAACTATGGCCGCCTGTGGTGAAAATCATCGAGTGACGAAAAAAAAAAAAAGACAAAAAAAGTTTATTTAACAACCATTTTATCAGTTGTTCAATTGAAATTATTTAAGGGTTGTTGAAGTTTATGATCAAATATTTTTCTTTCTCTTTGGCAACATTAACAACAATATTACTTGTAATATGATCAGAATTTTTTGTTAACTTTATTTTGTTCAGCCTTTTAAGGCTTGTAAATTATTTATGTTTTTATCCAGGAAGAACTTTTGTCGGATTTATTTATAAGTCCATATAATTCATTTCTAGAAAATGTAAAATCTTGTTAATCAGTTGGCAATATAAACTTGTCTACTTGAAGAGTGGAAAACACCTTTAAATAAATAAAATAAATTAAATATATAAAAAAAGAAGCAAAATCGCTGTACTTTAGTCTTTATTTCAAACCTCTGTTGTCAGGGCCAGATTTCGGCCACTTGCTGTGAAAATTATGTAACATTTATAATAAATATATTTCTTTTGGACATTGAAAATATTTGAAATTTATTTATTCACATAGCCTTGACCTTTAGTTTTTAAAGTGTAGTCACACTTAGTTGCGCAGCAAAGAAAAATGAATGTAAATTGTGTATTAAGGAATTTTTTAAACTTGGGTTATAAATATTTGAATTTCAAGGTTTCAAATTAGAATAATGTTTTGGTAAAATAATTACATTTATTGCACAATATATTTATACTGCATTTACTCTGCTCATATTACATGTGAAAATTGTCAATAAATGAGCCGTGTCATGACAAAACCAACATAATGGGTTTGCAACCAGCATGGATCCAGACCAGCCTGCGCAGTCTGATCAGGATCCATGCTGTTGGCTTACAAACCCTATAACAAGTAGAGAAACTGAAAGCGAACAGCATGGATCCTGATCAGACTGCGCGGATGCGCAGGCTGGTCTGGATCCATGCTGGTCGCAAACCCACTATGTTGGTTTTGTCATGACGTGGCTCAAATGTTGTTCGTTGCTATTTATCTAGACTGTATAATCAAAGTTTGGATTTAAGAACAGTTTGGTACAATTAAACCTATTTCTATATCCTGACTTAAGAATTTTTGCCGATTTAAGATATATTTTTTTGATAATTATATTTTTTTATATACACTGTTGAGACCTATATATCAGGAGGGGTTCACAATTTTGTTCATGAATGATCTATGGGTATGAAATTACAGTCAAAATATGTCAAAAAACAATTACACAGTTTTGTCCTGTATTATGTAGACATGCACATGTCAGTTTATATTGAAAACAATGATTGATACTAAAATTAGCACAAACGTATCAACTAATTAATTAGTACAATTCAACCAATGGAAAACAAAAAAGTCAGCATATTTAATATCTTATTACAGTATCTAGATACAATAAGATGGCAACAGTTGGCAATTAAAAATCAATTCAATTTTTTTTAATTGAATAATTTTATTTTTTTATGATATATTTCCATAATACCTCCTTTAAAATGTTGCATTATCAAGGTTAATAAACACATTTGTTTGTGTGACTGTGCCTTTATATATTGGCGTTTTTTCCTTTGCCTTTTCTTGAGAAATACATTGCAGAGAATACCTCATTATCATAACTTTTTAAATTGTATACATGGTTGTAATTTAAGATTTCCAGTTGCAAAATTTGCAACATATTTTTGCCCATTACCAATCATGGTGTTAAAATATTTCATAAAAAAAAATGAAATGAAAGGAATGCAGTGTATTGATAATTGTTATTGTACATTTTCAGGGCTTTGTACCTCTGTACCAGAGTTGGGAGAGCTTTTACACGCGAAACCTTTACCGCCGAATTCGTGACTGCTGGAACCGGCCAATATGCAGCGTAGCCGGTGCTTACATGGATGTTATGGATCGAAAAACTACTGATAATGGCTGGAACTTTGAGTAAGTCTGTCTCGATATTAGGACGTTTTGTCTGACTTTTACAGCAGACGTAATTACAATATCTCTTTTTATTTGGCTTCCGTTGTCTGCATACAGTTATTGGATGTAAGAAGACATTGACAATTTGATGAACATTAAGTAGATTTCGTAAGTTAGTAGCAAAAATTTTATCAGAAACAATGTAATGACGTATATATGGTTTTATATATGATTTAGAAAGTTAATTTCCTGTCTGATCGTATTTCAAATGAATTTAATAAATTAGGTAGTTCAAATTTTGATGCGTAATTTCTTGTAAAATGCAAATTAGGTATCATATGAGAACCACTGTTGATTTTAATCCATTAACTTAATAGACATACACTGTATTAATCTTCCTTTGTAGTTGTCTAAAGCATCATAAAGAAAATGAGCACCTGAATATCTTTTAAGACGTTAAAGATATTTATAGAAATTTTATGATTTTTTTGGTATCCAATGTATGGAGTGTGTCTAAATCAGTTATGTAAAAGGAGATATTTACCTGCACTTTTATGTCAACCATTTGTTTACAGACAAAATTTGTTCAAGTCAAGGCCAAACCAAGTTTGTATGCATGTTCCGGCATTAAAAGCTTGTTTATGCCAATATATGCATGTACATTAAACCATTCATTACATTTTTTTTATACCTTTTGACTCACTGAATAATGGCTGCTGATTTTAAAACTGTTTTTTTCCCCGGAGATCTTATGATGACTGGAATTTTCCTGTTGTAACTTTAGAACTGTTTATTTCAAGGATTTCATTATTAATTAAACAAAGTTGAGCATCCGGTGGTTTGGAGTCTTTCCTGACTGCATGAATGTACAGGCTGGCCTGGCTCTAGTCTGGTAGCATATACCTTGTGCCATCTGGATGCTAGAATGCAAAGGGTTAATAGTCTATCTGAAATATGTGGAAAGATACTGTTTTCTTCATTTAACATTCTATTAGAAAATGTTTTATATTTTCAGAGTAACAGACAAGATACATCATGTGATGAACTTCGGGTCATATAATTACCTGGGATTTGCAGAAAATCAGGGACCATGTAAAGATGCAGTGGAAGCCACAACAAATAAATACGGCATTGTTGCTTGTGGTAGCAGACAAGAACATGGTATGATTCTTTTGATGATTAAAAGTTTGAAACTTACAGTACACTGACAAACAAATAATTCTTGTACTATAGGATTATAAACTTATTAATTCTTTGAGGGAAACTGGTAATGGTACTTTCACCTAATAACAAATCACTTTTGAGACTGCTCCCTTTAACTTATTGTTAATGATATCATATGAAGAACATGATCTTGGCTAAAGAATGCTCTTGACATACGATCCTTGTATTTTAGAGGCCCACACCTTAACCATTACCACACAGCCTCTGTTCCATTTCATAATCTGATTTACTAAAGGGACACAACTCCTTGAGTTAAAAGCCCTAGATTTTCATGCATCACAGATTTTAAACTTTTGACTTCTTAATTTATGTATTAAAAAATATTTATGCCTTTAGATGTGAAATAACAAAACGTAAAAATAGTAACCAAAAACCTGATTGTGCAAGTCAGTTTAAAAATAGACACACATTTTATGCTTCGGTAAACAAAGGATGGGTACTGTTAGACCTTGAAATATTTTATCTCTAGGTATTTACTATGATGCAAGGTTTAACTAGGGTAAATTTTACACTTTGATAGTAATGTCATTTTCACGTTGTGAATGAGTAAAGTAGTATTGACATCTTGTTTCATTAGTCAGTAATGTTTACGTTAAGGGTCGATATTTAAGCCTTGGGGCGGGAAGTATGAATAAGCCTGAATAATCATAAAATGATTTGAATAAATTATATACTTTAAGTAAATTATTAAGTAACAAAATATTTATGTACAATTCAGTGGGATTTTTTTATATGGGCCACCCATAAAGAAATGCTTTTTAATCTATCTTTTATCTGAATTTACCTGGTTAAGCACTGTAAATATGATTTAATAAGTAACATCAAAAATCATCTTGGGCCCAAAAAAAATCCCGCCCTTCTTTTAACATAATTTTTAGGCCACTTTATAAAAAGGGTGACATTGTGGTGTAATAATTTTTCCTTTATGAATTGTCAGAAAAGCTATCAACAAAAGCAAAACTAAGTTATTAAAAAAAAAGGAAATGTAAATTGACATGAGGAAGTTAAGTGAAATGATGAAACTGAAAATTAGGAGAAACTTATGTATGGTTCATTGTTTACAGGAAATTGTAAGAGTTATTGTTTTCAAACCTGTTTAGTCTAATAAAATACTGATGATAATAATAAAATTTGAGTAATGGAAAATATAAACCTACATGTAAGGAAGTTAAATGAAATGAAAAGTGCATCTCCAAATAAATAGAAACACTTTAGTTTCATTGTTTAAATACTGTTAAATAATTTTAGATTATTTAGTATTGTCTATATGAATTTTATTGTAACCCTGTTCTAATTTTAACCTAATATCAGTAATTAGTGTTGTTTTTTTTTCTCACCTTTTAGGGGGCTGGGTCTGCCAAATTGAGAATTTCTTGAATCATTGAATTAAGAAAATTTAAGAAAATGAAATGGCTTAATTTTAATTTTTTCTGATAGTCTTTATGAATGTTTAAGCACCAGTTTTGGGTAAAAATAGGCATTTTGTTTTTCTGAGCCCCTAAAGTTGGGAATCTGCTATGTGATGTATTTGATGTTAAATGTCAGTTAAATAATGCAGTATTCCTTTTTTAATATGAGCCGCGTCACGACAAAACCAACATAGTGCGTTTGCAACCAGCATGCATCCAGACCAGCCTACGCATCCGCGCAATCTAATCAGGATCCATTCTATTCGCTGCTTGTAATAGAGTTGGTTTGCAAACAGCATGGATCCTGATCAGACTGCATGGATGCGCAGGCTGGTCTGGATCCATGCTGGTGGCAAACGCTCTATATTGTTTTCGTCGTGACGCGGCTCATATCATGAATATTAGAGCATAGGAATTTATAATAAAAAAAAGCACATGATCAAATGTGGTGAAATTCAATCTTCTGCTTTATATTTGAGATTTCAAATAGGAAAAGATGTGCTTCATTTTGAAATTTGATAATGATACAACTTTATATATAATGAATAGTACTCTAATGATATGTTTGTGGCATCTTTTTTTTAGCAAGAAATACCACAAAGACAGTTATTCATGTGTTTTAAACAGACATTTTGTATTTTGTTAGCTTCGGGAATAGCCTGTTGTTACGAAATGATGTCCCCGATACAGGAAAAACCCTTTAGTATTAAAATGATATTAATATTTATATTTTCAATATATTAACAAAAAAACATAATTATTTGAAATTGCTTGCCTTCAGTACTTTATAATGATTTAATTTATATCAAAACCTGACATGACCCACTGTTTATTTAATAGATTTGTCCATGGTAAGGCATTCTTTAATGTCAATTTAGGGTTATTATCCCTTCCAAATAGACATAATAGAAATAGATTATACTAATATTAAGGCCGAAGATTGACATTCACTTTGTAAACTAAATAAGGTCTTAAGGTTATTGTGTTTATTGTTGGAAAAAAAAGATAATAATCATAATTTTATGTGAAGCATTTTATAAATATATAAACATTTCTGAAAGTCATTTTCTTTTCTTCGAAAAAGATATCATTTACCTAGAATTCAAAAAAATGATAAAATTTCAGGTTGACTTTAACTTTCTGCAGGATACTAAGATTAGATAATGAAAACCAAATGTTAACAAAGTTACTATCCTGAGGATGATTATTTCTTTGTAAACATTGACCAGTACAGATTAGTCAAAAACTGTGTCCTTGAATATATGTACAACATTTCTCACCTAAAAGCTTGTATAGATAGGTTTATACTAAAAGCTGCATGCCTCAAGATGAACTAAAATATATCAAGAAAATCAAAATTGAGAAAAATGTACTAAGATTTTAATAAAAGTAAATGATTCAAGATTAAATTAATAATTTACATGTTTTGTGCAATTAATGACTGATTGTACAGAATTAATCACCAAATTTTTACTGCACTTCTAATGTACTACGGGGCATTTTCTGCATATTTTGACTTTTTTTGATGCTTTATGTTGATTATAAGTGCCATTTGCAATGTGTAAATTACTTTTTGTTCACATTACAATATTCTACTTTTAAATACATTTTCAAAATTTTAATGAAAATTAGCATTGCACTGGAGGCATGCTGTCAAGTACAGAATTTAAGTTCAGACAGCTTTAGATGTAACTGACTAAGACCATGGGGTAAAATAAAGGTTGATGACCTAAGGGATAGGTTGTTAAGATAGTGTTTCACTCATATACTTACTCTCATGAATTTTTTTATCAATTTTCTAGATACATGTACATTGTAAGTCAAAAAGAAAGAATTGGCTCAAGGTGTCTTAATGGCTCACTTATGTGATGGTCATATAATTTTAATCCATGTGCCAGGTGAAATATAATAATAAGGGGATGGTCATATAATGTTTAGCTAGGGACCAGGTATGGTATAAGGGATGGGTTCTGTGAAACAATGCATGAAAAACCTCCCAGATCATTGCCTAGTAAGTCCCTATACTACATGAACAATTTGAGAGTGTCACAGTGTCACAGGAGAAAATCCTCTTATTTCTAGTCTTTTATTTTTAATATTTTCATTATAGTTTTAGGTTAATAGCTAGATAATCTTTTTGTTTTGTTTTGTTTGTTTTAGGTTACCTAGATATACATAAAGAGCTGGATGAACTTGTAGCACAGTATTTAGGTGTTGAGGCTGCCATGACAGTTCCCATGGGCTTTGCTACAAATTCCATGAACATGCCATGTCTTGTATCCAAAGTAAGTTCACTTCAAAAAAAAAGAAAAAAAGACAAAGGCAAAAAGGGGAGACTAATGATTTATTAACATTTAAGTGCTGGATACAAAGAATATGCTAACAATATTAAAAGTATAATATCGAGCCAACATTCACATATACAGGGGGGTTGTGGGGTCTCAATGTACATAAGTTAAGTAAAATCAAGCACAAAACTAATGAAAGTCATATAAAAATGTGACTCCTGACCCCTCTGTAAAACTAATAAACTGCCCAAAAACCCCCTCTGGAAAAAGCATCACTACTTCACAAAAATTTGCAGATTTTTTTTTTGATCTTGTAATCTTGAATGAAAAAATGAGGTCAATTTTGAAAAATCTTATTATTTAATCATGTAATAAATTAAGTTTATGATAACTGCCCACTTTCTTTTATAAAAGTCTTAACTATTATAAATTTTGTCATTCCACAACTCTCCTTATTGTGAAGTTATTTGTTTGAACACTGATAACTGTGGTGTAATTAAAACTGATTTATGATATAAAAAAAAATCATAAACATTTCAAAATGTGTATTATGATCACATTTATTTGATGTCTAGGCAGATTTATGTGATTTTCTTCTTTTATTAGTTTGCGGAACAATTGCTGATGAAATAAATAGAGGATAGTCAAGTTTTTTTTCTTCTATAAATGCAGGATTTATTTTCATTAAGTGGTATGAAAATAAATATTTCTCGAGTGGCAGTGAAATATGATAATTTTCATACCACAAGATGAAAATGAATACTGATTTTTTTAGAAAAAACTTGAATTTTATGTTTATTTTATACTTTTTCTGTTTTAACCTGAAGATTTGAAAGAATTCCCTTGCCTTGTAATTTTATGTATTGGCTGAATTTGGAAGAAAATAGTCTGGCAAGACACCAGTGAGAATATGGAAAATTTGCATCACTGCAGTGAAAAATAACTGTGAAAATACCGAAAATGAAAATATGCATTTTATTTCATCAATATTTCTCAATATTTCATGTATAATTAAGTTTATAATAAACTAACATCTTTGACACTGTATAATATGATCATTAATGAGTATATTTTCAGTATATGATATAAATGATTGATCTCTGTTACAGGGAAGCTTGATATTCAGTGACGAGTTAAATCATGCGTCTCTCGTCCTTGGAAGCAGATTAACCGGTGCAACAATACGTACATACAAACATAACGGTAAGAACAGACTGAATTAATTAAATCTGAGTTTAAAAAAAAAATTTTCTTCTGTATGCTTAATTGAAACATTTTTCATGGAACTGAAATCTTTAATCAAAAATTGAAATTTTGTGCGCTATGAGGGTTAATAAGACAAAGTAGTTTGAATCTTAAACTAGCATGAGGCATATTCTGTGAAATCCTTATGTAAAAAAACAAGTCTTGTAAGATTGGAATTGTTGTCTTTGTTGACAGATGGCCTTAATAAATGATAAATTTTGCTTTTGAATTAATATTCATGAGATATTTAAAGTTTATATATAATCAGTTCAATAAAAACAAAGGCTTTTCTTAGCTTTCAACAGTTTAGCTTCTTTAGAAAAAATTTATGTTTTTAAGATAGCAAATGATGCATGTCCGTTTTATTTTGTTTTTTGTTGAAATTTATATAAAATAAATCATTGCTTGTTGTCTACATGAGATGGTGGCATCTAATACAGACATACAGTATTAAGGAAATATTAATTTCTTTTAACTTACCCTGCTACCCCAAGTAAAATTACTACCGTAATGAGTCTTCTAAATGAGACTGAAAAATCATAGGTCCCATATAATTGCTGAAAGTTTACACCTTGCATTGCCCTAATGGAAACATTATTACACCTAGAATGGAGAAGTTTCTGTAGCCATATGGTCCTTTAAAAAAGTTAAATTATTTAGAATCTTGTGGAGTAAGTAACTCAACTGGGATTTTGGTGACAACTTTAATAGAAGAACAAACCATTTAGAAAATACCCCATTAGTCAAAAATTAAAAGGCATATCTTTCAAATAAACATTTTGTTCACTCAGTATAAAGCACAAGGAAGTTATTCGATGTAAATCTATCTGTATAACTATAACAGGAAAGTTTTGATATTCAGTGTGAATTATAATTTGCATTTCAAATGAATCGGCTCTGGGAAAAAAATCATATATTCATTTCTGAACAAAACTAAGTAATTTTCTGATTTTAAATTAGAGATTGAAATGATGATAGGATTTCTTCTCAGCTAGGAAAGTTACATTGAAATTGTGTTATTTTGTCATCCTTTCTATTCCGTGGTTTGAACCGTATAATTCACAACAAATAAATCATAGTCACTTCCCAATACAAAATTTATTTTTCCCCCAATTTGTTGATAATTGTGTGCATAGGGATGTGTTTTTTTCTCCTGAAATTGTGTCTGTTACAGTGACAATTATGGGGTGTAAAACAATTTCACTGTACAGAAAACAAGAATATTTTGTAGAGAAAAAGGGAAAATTTTCTTGTTCACTGTCACATTATTGGATAATCTTGCATGATTCCCAAACTTTCATTTCCTGCAGTAAAACCATAAGAAAATAGAAATAATTCATCATATCAATAAAGTACAAACTAGGAATTTATTCAATTTTAGAAAGAAAGCAAGAAAGAAAGAACGAAAGAAAGAAAGAAAGAAGAAAGAACGAAAGAAAGAAAAAAATATTTTTAAGAAAGAAAGAAGAAAGGAAAGAAGGACTTTTAAGAAAGAAAGAAAGAAAGTTTTTTAAGAGAGAAAGAAAGAAAGATTTTTAAGAAAGAAAGAAAGATTTTTAAGAAAGAAAGAAAGACTTTTAAGAAAGAAACAAACAAACAAACAAACAAACAAACAAAGAATTTTTATGAAAGAAAGATTTTAAAGAGAGAAAGAAAGAAAGAGAGAAAGATTTTTATAAAAGAAATATTTCTAAGAAAGAAAGACTTCATTAGTATGAAGAAAGATTTTTAAGAAAGATTTTTAAGAAAGAAAGACTTTTAAGAAAGAAAGAAAGAAATATTTTTAAGAAAGAAAGATTCTTAAGAAAGAAAGAAAGACTTTTGAGAAAGAAAAAAATATTTTTAAGAAAGAAAGATTTTTAAGAAAGAAAGAAAGAAAGAAAGAAAGAAAGAAAGAAAGAAAGAAAGAAAGAAAGAAAAAGACCCTCAAGCAAAATGTTTTTTCTGCTACATTGTTGTACAACATATAAAATTCCAAGAAATCTTCAAGTATAGGATAGGCTTTTAAAAAAAAAACATCAACAGTTATTCCGTATTAACAACACTTGCCCTTATTTGGTATGCCATTGCAAAAACCACTATTAGATTTGTACAGTTAATCAGTCATGAAATGAAAAACAATTAAAAAACATAAAATCATATTAAGATGTCAGTGTTTAGAACAAGCGAAAAAACAAGCCCATATTATTTTGTATTGTTTCTGAGTATAAATGTTGTATTGTTGTTTGCAATAGACTAGTATAAGAGTATTATTTTGTTAATCAATTCTGTTGACCACTTTAAAGTCAAAATATCTATTACATCGCATAAATGTAAAAAAAAAATTCCCTAACATCAGAATAAGGAATATAAATATTAACTATTTTTTAGGGAATATTCAATTTACGTACTATTGCACTTTCAATGATAATATCAGTCGACCATAATTAAAATGATTAATTAGCTGCGTACCTTGATAATCCCTTTAATACGTTCTTGATTTATTTATTATTTATACGTTCTCGATTTATTTATTATTAATGTGTTCTCGATTGATTTATTATTCATTGTTTAATACTGATTGAAGCCTTATCTTAAACACTGCTGCCTAAAGTGTTGTTTGAAAATTGATTAGTCCATAGTTTGCTCTATCCTGTGCTCCGAATTTATTTTCAGTCTTTGATTTAGTCAGAAACTTTGTTATCAATTATTTATACATCAATAAACAATGTCCTTGCCAACCATGATTGTATGAATAAATAAGGCTTAATAAGCAACATTTTTGGTATATGAGGACAAGAAATTGTTCTTATACAGTATGTGAAGATAATTAATTAAAGACTATGTTGTAATTAATGAGGGTTTAAAATTTAGGGACGGGCAATGTGAAGTTGTGGTGGGTGGGGAAGGGCAAATGCATTTTTTTCATTCTAAAATGTAATAAGTAATATCTGCACATCTGCTTTCAACAAAACAAAATGCAAAACGTTTTTGTTTACAATGAACATGAGGTAAGACTTCTGCTATGATACAATCAACTTAATGACTTATTACTAAGTGGATTGAATTTTAGTTGAACGAAAGTAATTTATCGAGGGCAAGAAGATATTAAACAAAATGTTAGTGACCTGTCGTACCATCGTTGTGCAGGGTAATCATTCAAGATCAGTTTAAACAGTTTAGATATTTCTAATACACAGGTAAATGTTTGAAATTACTAATACACAGTTAAATGTTTGATATATATTAAGACGTCTGACCCAAATATCTGACACCAGTGATGATAAAATCAATGTCGTTTGATTATGATATTTTGATACAAAAGGTTTATCTCTCATTTGTCCTTATTCAGCCGAAGTTTATGACCTTAAAATTTGATATACTTTGTAAACAAATACCCTCACCCTGGTTTGTATTAGTGATTTTGTATGACTTCCTGTCGTTCATCACTTGTTTATCAGAAATTTCTGTATCATAATTACAAAAACAAATCCGTTACCTTGAGTAACGAGTCATAAATGATTGCATGGAAATGCAGGCTTGTTACCACCAGAGCCTGGTCATATTGCACAGATGTGCAGACCCAGGCCTGGCTCTGCCTTGTGCCCTGTCCTGTTTTTGTTGCTCCTGCACTCTTGGCCGTTGGTCCTTGTTGCTGAGTTGTGTGGGTGTTGCGTTTATTGAACACCACCTTTCCTTGTTGATCTTGTTTACCATGTTCTATATTGGTTGCAAAGGCTATTCACGTTTTAAGGACAAAGTCAGTGTTTGATGTTTTTTTAAAAACAGATTTTGGTACTGGTACACTTATTTTTATAACAAAATATATATATTGTCACCTAATTTCAGTTCCTATTATATTTGTAATATTCATATTGTCTCCTGGGAACATATAATTATTTTCTCAATTAACAGGCACACATTTGGCTGCAGGTGCTTGTTGTCATTGAAATTCTATGAATAATTCTCTCTTTTGTTTTTTTCAATTATAATCATAAGGAGTGTTCTGAAATACCTATTCTGAGAAAAATGATTGAAATGAGAAAGAAAAAATATGTAGCATCACTGATGCTGATAGACCAAATACCAAACAGTTTTAATTTTATGATTGATTTTTCACATTGAAAAAATGAGAAATAGGTACTGAATTAAAAATTTTATTTGGATTTAGATTGACAAATATAAATCTCCAACCCTCTAATTTAATACTGATTTTAGTTAATTTATAACTGAAAACTTGGTAAAGAGTTTGCCTGTAGCATCATTTTGTTGTAAATTTTGAGGGGTTGCCCCTTTTCAAACCGTTTTGTCGGGCGTTTTTTTGTTTTTCCCCCCTTTTCCTATTTTTTTAAAAAGATTTCCTAAAATGAAATTTACCAAAACTTCACGGTTTGTTTTTGGTTTTCCCTTTTTAAAATTGTTAAAAATTTTTCTTTAAAAACTTTTTTCCCTGGAACGAAAAAAAAAATCTTTAATTCCTTTTAAAAACCCTGGCAAATTAAAAATTTTTGGGCAAGAAAACTTCTTGTTCCCCTCCTTTGTTCAAAAAAAACCCCGGGGGGCCCCAAAATTGGGGGCCCCGGGGAAATTTTGTTATTTTTTACATTATATTTTTAAAACCCTTTTTTTAAGAACCAAAGTCGGGTTTAAGTTTTAAAAAAATTTTGGGGACCTTTTTTTTCAAATAAAAGGGGGGAAAAATTTCCCCCCCGGGGGGTTTGACCCCAAAATGCTTGAAAAATTTTAAATTTTTTTTAAAAAAAGAACCATGGCTAGGCTTGTTTTTTTTGGAAATGAAAAATTTCTTGTTTTTACCAAGTTTGTTCAAAACCTGGGGAAAAATTGGGGGGGGGATTATTTCCCTAATGCTATAGAAAAAAAACTTTAAAAATTTTTTTTAAGAAAAAAGAGAAGTAGAAAAAAAAAAAATTTTTTGAAAAATTTTTAAAATATCTCCAAAATTTTTTAAAAAAAAGGGGGGGGTAAAACCCCCCGGGGGGGGTAGATTTTCCTTTAAGCATATTAAAAATTAAAAAATTTTTTTTAAAGAAAAAATAAATTTTTTAGAATTTATAAATTTCTAAAAAATGTAAAACCAATTTTGTTTTAAAAAAAAGGGGGGAAAAATTGCCCCCCCCCATAAAAAATTTTCCCCTTAGCAAAAAAAAATTAAAAACCTTTTTTTTAAAAAACCCGGCTTAAAGCTAAGATATTTCAAAAACTCTTTTAAAAGGGTTTTTTCCCAAGTTTTTCAAATCCCGGGGGTCAAAAGGCCCCCCCGGGGGTCATTATTTTCCATAGATAAAAAAAACTTAAAAAAACTTTTTTGTAAGGCTAGATAAATTTTTATTCTTTAAATTTTGTTTAAGGGGTTTTTAAAAATTTAAATAAAAGGGGGGGGCCCCCAAATTTTTTTCCCCGGGGGGGGGGTTTTTGATTTTCATTGTTTGAAAAAAATTAAAAATTTTTTGAAAAAACCCAAAAACAAAATTTTAGTTTTTCCAGGAAATTTTTCTTTGAAAATATTTCAAAATTTTTCAAAAAAAAAACCGGGGGGGGGGGGTTAAAAAACCCCCCCGGGGGTTTTTTTTGGAACAAAATTTTATTATTAAAAATTAAAAAATCTTTTAAAAAAAAACCCCGAGTAAAAAATTTAAAGTTTTACTTGTTTCTTTTATCGCTTTAGCAAAAAAAAAAAAAAAACCCGGGGGAAAAATTTTCCCCCGGGGGGGGGGGGGGGGGGGGGTTTTTAAAAATTGGCATGGGGGATATCCCCCTCTTTTAATGTTCCAGTTATCTAAGGTTTCTATAGCAGAAGCATATTTGTATTTGTAGATATGGTAGATTTAGAAAAGAAGTTACGGGCTGCAGTTGTGCACGGACAACCAAGAAATCATCGACCCTGGAAGAAAATTCTCATCGTTGTTGAAGGAGTTTACAGGTAATATGATAAAAGTTGTTAAAAGAAGAATACCATTCTAATACTGTCACATAAAGTACATACATTGATGTATTTTTCATCTTGATTTCACCAAAGATTGTTCAATTTTGTTTTGCTTTATTTAGTAATTTACTTAGATTGTATTTTCAAATTTTCAATTTAAATTAATTCTTTGTTCACTTGAAATATTTTGTTTTATTTGATAACTTAATTTTTTATGAAAAAGAAAGAAAATTTAAAAATGAATACCATTTAGATATTCAAATGTTATTTTTTTTTTTGTTTTCAGTATGGAAGGGTTTAATTGTGTTACCGGGGGTGTGTTAAGATTAAAAAAAAATACAAAACATATATTTTTTAGACGGGCTCCCGTGTTGGGGGATGGGGCGAGGGGCGTGGGGGTTGTTGTTATTTTGGCATTTGATCCAAAAAAATAAAATTAATGGGGAAAATTCACAAAATTTTGGTTGGGAGTTTTGGCGGAACTAAAAATAAAGGAACCCAATTTTTTTCTTTTTAAAATGTTATTTTAAAAATAATTAAACATTTTTATATTAAGTTTTATTAAAGGACTCCACTGAGGTTTTTTGACGTGATGGGACTGGAAGTAATATTTTTTGAGATTAATGTTCCATTTGATGAAGGTCTAGATAAATAAACTTGTGTGTAAAATTTCAGATAATACTCTCGCTCCGTTTTTCCAGAATGTTTCTTCCAATTGTGACAAATGACTGAAATTGAAAAGCGTAACTCAAAGTAGGACAAGAATAGGATTTTAATTTATTTCTTAATTATCTTTTGCATAACTTTCTGTTTTAAATGCCCCTATTGATCGTATGTAAGAAATATAAATTTTATGTTTTTAGTCTTTTGGACCTTAGTGGAGTTCCTTTAAAGAAGTACAGTCTCAAAAAGTTTACACTTCGATTCAGAGCAGTATAGTTATAATTATTTTAAGATTATGTTTAAAGTTTATATGCTATGAATAAACTTTTTTTTCTCAAAACTGATAGCAATTACACTGAATAAAATAATGTAAATTACTTTTTTGTCACAATTTAATTTTTTTACAGAATAAAAAAAATAATATAACTTCAGAATACTTCCGTCAGATGATGTTTGTTGTTAAGCTTTAACTTGTAGAATAAACGTAAAAATTTAAAAAACTGTAAAATTATGTTATTTTCATATTTCTTATTGTCATAGTTGGAGAGAGCTTTATCACAAATTGTCTCCCTTACAATAATATACATAAAATAAATTTGGAACACAGAATTTACGTTCCTTTATAAATAATCGGCTGCTTAGTTGGAATAGCAACAATTTTATGCATGGGCCACAATGTACAGATATAGGGACTTTGGTATAGTTTTTATCATAATAAATCATAATTCTACTGTTTACAGAAGTTAAATTTGGCAATATACCCTTTTAAAGTGTAGAAGACTATATATCTGCTGCAAATATTACTGTTTGAATTTTTATAAAAGAATACTTCCAAAATGCATTTATGAAAGAAATAAAGTAGTATATTGCCTTACTGGGGCATGCAAGAAATCATTGCTAAACGGTTAAAACCCTTCTTAAAATAGTAGCATAATATTTTGTTGCAGAACATTCCACTCTATTTACGTACAATATTGGTGTGTCAAATAACTAAGACAGTCTATATTCCAACTCAAGTGATAATAGACCATAAGATTATGGAACCAATATAATTTTATTATTAATAAATTTTGTAAACATATTTCATAAGATAGATCTGTTTACCCTTTAAAATTTGCAGACTGTGATTTCATTGACATCATAAGGCACAAATGAAATATGACTTAGATTATAAATTATATAAATGTATATTAAAAAGTAACTAATACCTGGACAAAATAAGCAATCACTGAATTTTTAACCATTGTTTATTATATTAATTTTTAACCATTGATTATTATATGAATTTTTAACCATTGTTTATTATATGGATTTGTAACCATTGTTTATTATATGACAGAAACTTATCAATCATCTCCGGTGCAACTCGCATGCAGCAATTTACAGTCCGACAATTCCACCTCCGGTAGCTCAACAAATTATTACATCAATGAGAATTATTATGGGCCTTGACGGCACCAACGAAGGTAAGGATCTTTGCTAGACATTAAGAGAGAGTTTGTAATTACCAAAGTTTTGTGTCAACATGAAAGTCAATAGTAGTACTTAACCTACTGTATTTCTTAAATGGACTTGTCCTGATTCTGTTTTTGGAACTGGCAGACACCATTATCAATTTGGGGATATCAAGATGAAAATTGAAATGTTAGTCAGCCCACAGTGTTGAGCCTGGTCAGACTGCATGGATGTTCAGGCTGGCCTGGCTCTATACTGGTGGCCAAGGTTACCAGTAATTGCTTCAGTTCCAGCTGGGTAAGGGTTAAAAAGATAGCCTTCATTTATAAATACTGAAATGTTTTATATTCAAAAATTAAAGGGACTCAACTGAGGTTTTTTGACATGAACAAAATGGAAAATATTTTTTAGGATTTTTGTATAACTGGAAGGACGCCTGGAACAATAAATTGTGTACAAAATTTCAGATCATTTGCTCACTCTATTATATTATTATATTATATTATCTATTATTATTTTATTAAGCAAATTAACCCCAAAATATGAATTGGCCCAAATGTCGCATAAAAATCGATTACCAATTTAATACCAAGTAAACTTTAATATTATCTGTTGCATAGTTTTCAATTTTAAATGTAGCAGTTAACTGTAGCAATTGATTAATGAAAGATTAAAAATAATTAATACACTTGTTACTATATATAGTAACAAAATTGCCTATGATTTCAACTGATTATGAGTGTCACGTGACCTATTATGAGTTTGCGGCCCGGGGCCGAGAACTAGTTATCATCCCGCAGAACATGTGCATGTGCACAAACTGAAACAATGACGTCATATTTTACGTCATGAAACAGTTAACTGTAAAAGTGAAAGTAGGTTGACAGCACATCGTATTTAGTACAAACACATTTTTGTTACTGTTGAAATTTGAAGAAATAATACGACAAATTCAATCCGAAAAAAAAATGAAAATAAAACTTGCTTCTTTGAACACACAAACAGTAAACATCTCCGTACAGAACACAAGAATTTCAACCAAAGAACTTCAAAGTAGATTTCTATTTGTTGTTGTTTCTTTTTTCTTTTTTAAAAATGCTACTATTAGATCTACCAAGTGTATTAAAGACATTAATACACGTCAGAGTAGGGCCGGAAGGTGATAATCGGCCCTGAATGAATAATGGCCCTCGGGCTAAAGCCCTCGGGTCCATTATTCATTTTGCGGGCTGATTATCACCTTCCGGCCCTCTCCTGCTGTGTATAAACCTCTTATTATGATTTGAAGCTATTGACCTCAGTGGAGTTCCTTTAATAAATAAAATTGAAATAAAACATGATTGTTTCTTCCAGTAACACAGTAATGTTTTAGCATCTCAATTCTAGTTGTACTTATCAAATCAATTCTAAAACACTAGGGAAATATTAATTGTTATTATTTTTTAAAATTATTTCCCATTCATTGTTAATATTCTATATAACAAGTAAGTTGGACTTAATTAAACTATTGATTATTTACTTGTTATACTTACTTGCCGTACAAACTCTCTCAGTCTTTATCAGTTTTATTTCTATGTATCGTACAATTTAACCGTGTAGTTTTTTTCCCTATCTAATTTATAACTTGCTTTGATGAAACTTGTTTTGATTTACTTTGATACTTTTTCTTATGTTACTGTTATGAACACTTCTCTCATATGGAACTTTTATGTTTTAAATAATATTATGTTATTTTATTAACATTAAATGTGTTTCTACAATTTAACTCTTTCACTGCCATATTTTATATAAAATTTTATTTTCAATGCCAAAGGAGTTTTGAGGAATTCCTGTAAATCTTTTGACCTTTCCGAAATGATTTTGCATAATTACATTTCCTTTTGGCTAAATTATTGAAATTTGCAATATTGTTAGATGAGAAATTACTTATATAGAAAATAAATTTGACACAGAAATTTATTATATTTATTCACTATCAAAAGTTAGGATTAAAGGTCATCAGAACAGTAATTTCAGTAATTTACTGATGGGGTAGTGATTAAAGAATATATGAATTTTGTAACATTATTTACCTGTCTGTCTTCACAATGACATGCTAACTTTTCACATATAACATTTAGAATAGAAGTGGACAAATGGCACTAGTGAGTTATACTTTCCCAGTACCAAATTCTTAATCTCAGGAAACCAAGGCCCCATTGACATAACTCTTGGGATTTAAATGTTAACTCTTAATGTTTAGGATGGCCTGTCATATTCTTTTTATTGGTTGAAAGATATGTTAGAAATATGATATATATTGATAAATATGATTGAGAACCTTCAATAGTTTCCATATGATAAAGACATAAACTCTTTATATGACATGTATAACCTTTTCTAATTTTGTTTTTATAATTTAATTTACAGCATTTTATCTTTAGTCGGTAAATTCAGATATTTTCACGGTAAATTCAGATATTTTCACGTAGTTAAGAGATTACTTTCAAGAATGCCAGTTACGCAATAAGGATTTATTACCAAGATATTTGTTTTAAAATGAAATATGCTTTTGAAATAAACATGATTTTAAAATAAACACGCTTTTTATCAATTTACATTTGATTGACAGATAGATGAATACAAATTATTAAAGCGACCCCACTGAGGTTTGACATGACCGGACAGGAAATATTTTCTGAAGAGTTATGCACTATTTGATTTAGGTCTGAACCAAAAGTGTGCATGTGTTATCAAATCAAAGCTTTAGATATACAGTGTAGTGTTCCAAAATTTCAGGGTATTCCTTTACTCTGTTTTTTTTTTCAGAATAATTATTCTAATTGTGAAAAATGACCCAAAAATGAAAAGCATTTAAACTTGGGGCCCAGAATTGACCATGAATTCAATTTTCAATTTATTCTGAGTATATTTAAATAACATTCATCATCTTTATCATATAGTTATGTTTTAATTTCCCCAGTCTTTGATCTGTGTAAAAATTCAAATTTTATGTTTTAAGGCTTTTTGACCTGACATTTGAGTCGCTATAATAGTTTTGATATAAACACTGTTATCATTATGATTTTAAAGAAATTAAATATTTAAGCTTGATATAGTTGAAAATGCATATTTATTTTAAAAAGTGGTTCTTTGAAACACTAATAAAAAATGGCCTATTTCTGGAACAAAGATCTCTTTAATAGTTAAATCTTGACCCTTTCTGGCTGGGAATTAAGTTGTCAGGATATTTTGCTTTAACAGAGTGCTCTTCACTTGAAGTGGAAAAATATTTAAAAAATAAAAAAAACAGCAAGAAAACATTGTACTAACGTCACAGCCTTTAGAATCTTGCACTTAATGATTGCAAATTGATTTAATTGATACTAATATTTTAGAATGAAAACTAGCGGACTGGTATATCAGAAAGATTTTTCAGTACTAATAATTGATTAATTATTATGTAAATTGTTCGGATTGCATCCATATACTTTCCATGTAATGATTATTATATTTTTTTTTAATTATTTATTTTACTGTAATTTAGTTTGCATAGTTTGCTTTTTTTCATTTTGTGTACTGGACTATAATTTATATTCAAATTGTGCAATTAATTGATTAAGCAGTTTAAAATAAATGAAGTAATGATTTATTTACTTAAATGGATATTTACCTTAATTATTTACATTGCTTAATGCATTTTCCACCCTTAATGGCTTAAGCTTACAATTTTGCTAAAACATTTGTTAAATGCCTCTGAAGACATAGAAATGGACTTCAAACAAAATAAGTTTTATATAAACTGCTTGAATATACCATGTAATCACTTCAGGCCATGGACGTATTCAACAGTTAAAAGACAATGTCCGCTATTTTCGACGTAGACTACATGAAAAGGGTTTTATAATCTACGGGAATAAAGACTCGCCAGTTGTGCCACTGCTTATTTATTACCCGTCAAAAGTTGGGTAGGTGTTCAATTGTAGAAGCATGTTTGAAAATATATAAATTAAGATATAATCATTTCATTAGATTTTTTGTGTAACGGAATTTAAAATATTTAAGACTTACCATTCCAGGCAGTCGAAGGATCGAACAATTAAAGCAGAACTGCCGATACTTCAGAAGGAGGCTACACGAGATGGGTTTCATAATTTATGGGAACAAAGATTCCCCTGTGGTGCCCTTACTACTTTTTATGCCGGCTAAAATAGCGTAAGTCAGTATGGTAGAGTGTAGACAAACACAAGACAGTGAGCTGATATAATCGGAACCCCTCCCACTTCTCAGTATTTGTAATATCATGATTCACAGCCAAATTTTAAAATTGTTTAAATTTTTGCACAAAACATGGACTTTTCGTAAAAATATTGTTTTAAACAAAAAGCGTGTATAGTTAAACAATATTTTTTGCGATAGACCATTTGGTATTTTTTTTTTAATTGTTTATATAAATTGCAGTACAGGTACTGTTTAGTTTATGTGTCTTACTTATTCTTATGTAAATGAAAAACAGTTACTCATGCCAGATATTTGGGCTTAAAATTTAATTTCGCAGACAAAATATAAATCTTCTGTCAGTCATTGTGCTGGTAATGATTGACAGGAATAAATCAAACAGTTATGTGCTGCAACAGTTCGTCATATTAAATGGCTTCCTTCGTTTTAATGTTCCAATTTATAGTCTACACTTGTACATATGTTACAACTTACACCCATATATTTAACCAGTAGTGCTTTGCTGATATCAATATTGGCAAGTTAGTAGCTGAACTTTTAGTACTAAAACAATAATTATTGTCTTTCATTCTAGATTTTTTTCTCCCGAAAATGTTGGATGTTTTCCTGCTTCTTATTTGGTTTTCATTCTAAATGTGAAAGCTTTCTGGGATAAATAATGAAATTTTTATCCTCCATAATTTATATCTTTTTCATATTTTAATAGTCAGTTTTTTTTAATTTTTCAAAATTCATAATTGAATAAAATCAATGTCACAGTACAGTAGCCTAATATCATGAAAAATGATTGTGACACACATGTCAAGGTTGAAAATATGGGTGTTCGCGTATTTGCTGTACGGGCTTAAATCCTTGCAGTACTGTTGTTTCATTTGGTTCTGAATGCACCAATATAAATAGCACAAAAAATACACAAACCAAAATATATTTCTTTTTTACCTTTAACCTGCTGATTATATTTTTAATGGACTTTCCCAGATTTGAATTTGGAACAGTCCATTCAGAGTATAAGGGATCTCATTATCAAAATACCAAAAATGGAGCTACCTGACAGAGATGAAAAATTCCACTTGTCCTCTCGTAACTACGAGTAGAATTTAAGAGAATTTGATGCAGGATGAGTAGAAAAATGTGGCCTGCATGTTGGATTTAGTAGCTACTTGTCCTGCAGGACAAGTGACTCTGAAAATAATTTCCGATGCCTATACCAACATTATGGTTGCCTGGTCAGACTTCCTGGATGTTCAGGCTAGCCTAGCGCATCACTTGTGGCAAAGGCTGATCAGTCAGCAGGTCAAGGGTCAATTTCTTCCAAAGGCTATATATTACATTTCTTTTTTTTCTCGATTTCTTCACCTAATATAAAGGCAATGTTGCATATTTCTTGGGAGCCAAAATGGAAAAACAGTCATTTCCAGACATTGCATGCTAACATGTTATATGTTTGTGGAAACAATTTGTATGCAAATAAATGTTATTATGCTAACCTATGCTAGTGATTATGTTATATTAATTCTAACATGAAACAATTTGTTTTGTTTATTTTAACACAGAATTTTATTTATTTTTTCTTATCATGAAACTATTTTTTACTTACTCTAAGTCTCTAACATTACTTGTTTTTTATGATTTTTTTTCATTTACATAATTGGTTTGAAAAAGAAAAAAAGGAAAAGTATGAATAACATATGGCATAAAAGTTGTAGATATATTTTCAGTTCATCACATGACGTCATTAAATGACGTCTCAGCTGAATTTAGTTTTCTAATATTTTTATTTTCCTGATTATGATACTTCTAATTTCTATGCATGTTAGAATTAAAACACATTTTAATATTGAGTATGTTATATTATTATAGTCTCATATAGCACGTTTTGTGATGTCTTGTTATATATCATTCGGTCCCAAGGCTTCTGTAATTAAGATATTACACCCCTTAATGTTCTGCCATGCTATATAAGATATAAATGCACTCAAAATATAAAATTCCTTATCCGGAGTTTGTAACTAAAGGGAGATAATCATGCTTGAAATGCTTACTATTATGTGGAGCTGAGCTTGGCTGAATTATTGTTATTGCTATATGTATAATACGTAATATTATTTGCATGTTTTGCTACAAGATTTTTATGCAAAGTATAAACAGTGCAAAAATAGTCGTAACACTTGTTTTGCTTTGTAACTGGCTAATATTTAAACAATATAGTTGCTAGTACATGTATTTAATGAGCTATGCATTTAATGCTTATCCTGCTGACTGCCTCTGAAGAATTTAAGTACCCAGAAAATGTTCTTTGTGACAAAATCACGAAATTTCATGTCCAGGAATTTAAATGAATTCACAGTATGTAAATGTTGACCTTGCACTATACTTAATGGTGGCATAGCCAAGATCATTACAAACCCCAATCATTTATTAGATAATGTATGGCTTGAGAAATACCCTTAGTTCTGTTTAATTTATTTATAGAAATGCACAAAAAATAAAAATTTATCATTTTCATTATTATTACAACATGTATATAGAAAAGCTCTTATCTTAGTTTTATGTTAATTTATTTCTTAATACTTTTGAAAAGATTAACATTTTGTTTTTAAGAAATTAAGTCTTATGAACATTCTTGCATTTGCATGTTTGGTGTTTTGTATGAAGCTGTTATTGTTTTCATTTTGTCTTGTTTTGTACAAATAATGCTATGAATTAATTATAATTAACAAAATATCATTTAAATTTTCAATATTTTAATGTAGAAGCATGTTTTACTTGTATCATTTTTTGTGTGTGTATACATGTATTCATTTCTTCATTGTACTTATAAGATAAAAAAACCCAAAAAACTTTTGACAAAGTTAAAACATTTTGGTTCATGTAGTTTTGTATTTTAATCTTGGTACAGCCAGCTATTTTTGAGAGTCTTAACCAAAATAAAGAGTATACTATCCATGCTTAAAGCTGCATGCCTCCAGATAAGTCAAACATTTTCAATAAAATCTAGCGGGGGTGGGGGTGTGGGGTGAATGTAAGATTTAAGGAAAAGTAAAATGATTCAAGATTTCTTTAATAATTACAAGTTATGTGAGATATATGATTGTTACATGTACATCAGTGTTTATAACCATATTTCTACTGCGTTACTAGTGCAGTAAAGGCTATTTTTAAATATTGTTACCCCATTTTGGTAATAAACATGGTTTGTAAGTGTAAATTGCTTCTTCACAATAATAAACTTTTGAATACATTTTCATGAAAATTACCATGAATCTGGAGGTGGGATGCTTTAAGAACTAAACTGAAAAAAAAAGGCAATCATTTCAATTCCTCTTGATATCATTAACATAACTATCATAAATGAATTATTATTTGTACTATTAGTGATACAAAATAATTTTTCACATCCCATTTTCTTTTCTTGACATCTGACGTAAATCTTTTGTAGTATGTTAGTCTTCCAGAAAGAGTTGGCTGTAAATCTTTTCTTTATATTCAAGCAGATTTCTTCCTTTCTTATCTTAAAAAGTTGTTTCTTTCCTTTATTTCAGTGCATTTAGTCGAGAGTGTTTGAAACGTGGCCTTGGCACTGTTGTAGTTGGCTTCCCGGCAACACCAATTATAGAGTCACGTGCACGATTCTGTCTTTCAGCGGCTCATACACGGGAAACTGTGGATAAGGTACTTTGTTGTAATTTGTAATTATTGTAAGGTACAACAATAACCAGTAGCGAGTGTATAAGTATCTGTATGAATTGTTACTAAGGCAATAATCAAGTTGCTTTTGTTCATTTAAAACATATATTTGAATAACTTAAAGCTGCATGCCTGTAGATGAATCAAAATATTTCAAGAAAATCAAACTTTGGAAAAATGGACTAATATATTTACATGCTATGTTTAATTACTGGCTGATTTTCCGGTATTAATCACCATATTTCTACTGCGTGACTAATGTAGGGCAAATATTGCTTATATTGACCTAAATTGCGAACCATTTTGGTTTTAATGGTAAATCTAATATATCTTTCCAAAATCTGTAAATTCTTTTTATACACCTTTAAACATATTCAAATTTCAGGCTTTAGCAATCATAGATGAAGTAGGGGATTTACTGAAATTGAAGTATTCTCGACTAGAATTACCACAGTGGTGCGAAGATGACAAAAATGCTAATGACATTATACAACATTAGGTAAATGTTCATCATACAAGAATCGTTGTTTGTTTATTTTGGGCGGGGTGTGGAAAAGGGAGGGGGAGGGGAATACTTTTAATGAAAATGCTTGGTCAGCTATTAAAAGAGGACATATAGATTTTTTCCTTAGAAATAAAAAAGAAATGATTTTTTTTTCTAAAGAACTATGAAAATATTAATAATGGAACAAAGAGTTATCACAGGAAAGGTTTTATTGTTTGTTTATTGTTGTAAACTGAAGTTTCAACTGTCAAGAATCTGCGTCAAGGTTTGAAAACATCTAAAGATGATTATAAAGGCAATTGCTCCTCCCACTTCTATTATTATAGAAAATCTGTGCCTTTAAAATCAAAGTAAAATTTCTGGATTTTGAAAATACTTGGCATAACAAAGGTCTGAAAATTCTCATGTGTGAAAGTGTTTAGAAATGTTTTGTTCATGATTTTCACTTCAAGTTTACTAAGTTATTATTGGTAATCATTATTATTAGTTCCTTTATTTTTTTTTGCAACAAAATATATGTGTTATATCTCTATAATTTTATTTTTACTTTTTACAGGCAGGGAGAAGTAACCACAGATTGTCAGCAGACGTGTTTTACATTTATCCTCTCAATAAGGTTGTGATATACTTTTCCAGTTCACGATGTTACCAATAGCAACCAGTATTTGACCTAATTACCTTAGCGACCAAATTATTTTTGTATTTAAAATTTATTGAACAAGTGATTTCTTTGTAGTCAAATGTTTGAAAAACTGAACATACACTTAAATATATACATTTGGAAAAATCTAGAATTACCCAGTAGGATGTCAACTTGGATGAGGAGTATTTACTGAACCAGAAATCAAGAATTTTTATGAACATTGTGTCACCTTAGTGCAATAACTGACAAACTCGAATTAAAGTTAGAAGAACTGTTACTGCACTAAGGAGAAGAATTTGAAACTATTCATGATTGCTTTTGTAAAGTTAACAGTAGGGGGATAAGAACATTCCAAAATCTATTATAAATGTTTTGTCTTACATATTATATTAAGCATAATTAAAATTTGTTGTAATTAAAAAATAGATCAGGTTTTCTTATTGAAACTTATTCCATTGTTAAGTTTTTGTAAGGTTGTCACAGATTTATAACAAAATTTTATATTGTTTCAATTTGTTTAACATAAAATAACAGGGTTAAGAATTGTTGAAAAGGGTTGTACTTTATCTATTTTGTGTGATTTTAAAATTTAACATGACATTATGCCATTACTTTGATTGAAATTTCATGTAAATTTTCTTATTAATTTTTGTTATCAAGGAAAAAATTTGCTACATAAGATCTTTTGATAATTTTTTTGATTTTTTTTCTCCAATAGCAAAAAATTATGCTTCAAAATTCTAAAATTTGGACATCTTGAATCTAGAATGTCATTAGGTACTAATTTGATTTATGTTTTATTTATTTATGTTATAAGTTGCAGTTGATATTACCTTACTTTATTAGGTCAAATTTTGACAGTTTTTTGGTTGATCTTTACAACTATTCGATAAGAATAAGCAGAGCTATTTTTGTCACCCAAGCGTCGGCGGCGGCGTAACCACTTACGTTAAAGTTTTTGTAATACCACAAATATTTTCAAAGTCCATTGACATATGGCTTTGAAACTTTGCACACTTGTTTACCATCATGACCCCAACCTGTAGACAGGAGGAGGTAACTGTATCAAACATTTTGACAGAATTATGCCCCTTTTTTGATTTAGAATTTACGTTAAAGTTTTTGTAATACCTCAAATATTTTCGAAGTCCATTGACATATGGCTTTAAAACTTTGCACACTTGTTTACCATCATGACCCCAACCTGTAGACAGGAGGAGGTAACTGTATCAAGCATTTAGCATAATATTGCCTCTTTTTCAACTTAGAAATTACATTTAAGTTTGCATACCACCTCAGATATTTTCATATTCTATTGACATCTGGCTTTGAAAGAAGTTGAAATTTTATACTCTTCTTTGAGAGCATAATAGGACTCTCTTCAAGGCCTATAACTGTAACATGGATTTAAAGAAACATTTTGCCTTTTTGTTAACTTAGAAAATTTTACATTATCAAGGCTTTTTTTACTATCAAGCACTAAGAATAGTCGAGCGTTACTGTCCTACCGACAGCTCTTGTTTATTTTTATATCTGTATTTATGATGTTGTTTTTGTACATCACTATGTCAATGCAATTCAATGCAAGGAAGGTTCTTGACATGTTTCAATGCAAAATAGAATGAGAGAGGTTTTTTTGATGCATATTTTAGTTAAAAGATTTTGAGAAAAAAATCAGCCTGGTTTGCTTCTACTATGTAGCCAGACTATATAAATATACATATAGTTGATTTAAATGTCTATGTACTTTGAAAGGGCGTGCCATTTTTGTATGTATAAATGAGTTTCATATTTATTATTTGGTACAGTCACGTAGCTGAAAAGGAAATAATGTTCATGCGTTTAGCAAGTAGTCTACCAACGGAAATTGAATCTATCCATGCAACAAGTGCAGACCAAGATTTGCCAGCATATATGTTTTGGTCTTACTCACCATGGTCTGCACTGCTAAATATTCAGCTAGTACATATTTTGAAAGTTTCTTATAAAAAGGAAGAATGGTTAAGTCCAGATTAAATGATGCACGAGTCTTCTTGTGACAGTCTGTCAGTTATAAAAATAAAGTAAAACAGCACAGTTTTGGAAAAATGGAAATAAGCAAGTATTATGTGTGTATCAGTTCATGCTTACCTTGTGAACACAAAAATCATTTAAGAAATCGGACAGTACCTTTTAATATGATATGGCTTATTTTTTAAATACATTACAAAATGGTTTAGCATGACAATCCACGAATTTGTTGACACTGATTTAAATGGTATGTCTACCCCATGATTATACCTGGATTTGATAGCCCCTCATGTATGTACAAGATTGTATGTCCCCCACAAGAGTTTATGTTGAAATCAAAAAATGCTTAAAGTATTTTTGTTTAACTATTTTTTCCTCTTGTTTATTTGTTTTGTTTGTTTGTTTGTTGGTTGATTGTTGTTTTTTATTATAGCATAAATTTTGAGAGAGAATTCTAAAATATGTACAAATTGAGAATGTATCGTTACTTGAGAAATGTTTTGAAAGATGTTCTAATTTGTTGATAGTATTTTATGCAGTGAACATGAATATGTGTCTGATTTTGCTTGGAATTAATGTAAGGTATGTTTTTGAGGGTGTGTTAAAGTTAGAAGGCGTGTTTAAGAAAAAATCTACTATTTTAAATCACATTTTTAGCTTGTCTGTTTCAATGTCAAGCTATTATGATTGCTGGGTTGTCATTGTCATGAAAAAACTTTACTGTACACTATAATACAAACATTTTAATAGCTATCAACAGGAAACTTAGAATACTTGCATGCCTTTATCAGGTGCAGTTTTAAGACAAGGGGCATTATTCTGAAATCCATATTTTTGTAGTTATGTCCCTTTTTAATTAAGGTTTTCCTTCCTTATTTTTTGGGTCAAAATTGGTTATTAAAAGTATTGCCCATAGAACACGAGTGTTAAACACGGCAAACAGTGTTCTTGTTACATCTTCCGCCACCAATTATTTGAATTTTGTTATGAAACAGAATATTCTTTAATTAGTTTTGTTGACGAATTTGTGATATTTTCATTAACTGATTTGATATAGTATAATAAAAGAGTGTATGATTATGAATGAAAGAATTTGTAGTGATCATAAATGGGGCTGTAAGGTTGGAATATCTTTAGTATAAATCATAAGCTCAATCGTTTTAAATGTTGAAGTGTAGTGTAGTGCTAATTTAAGCTATGTTTGATGTTTTCATATTGTTTATTTGTTGATTTCTCATTGGTTGTTTTATGTTTTCATATTTTTTTTTTCTAAGAATAATTGTAAATTTTTTAGTAAGAGTATAGTTTATAAAAAAGATCAAAAATATCATACATGCCATAATGTCCCGGACGTTCGGGATTGTCCCGGAAATTGGATGTCTGTACTGGAGATGTCCCGGGCATCGATTTGAGCCCGAAAAAAAAAAATCATGATATTTTGTTTCAGCACTATTTGGGTCATAAAACAATATTTCCTCTTACGTCACCAGAACTGGTTAATTCTGAGAAGCAGATTAAAAAGATGTTGATATAAGTGCAACAATTAACAATTTAGCTAAAAATAGGTATTTTTAAGTAATTTGCAATAATGAGATGATATTTGGAGTGCAGCTTATATAAAGTCCCTGTAGGGATAAAACAATTAAGTTAGATGTGTTGTACAACCGGCATGCCCCATTCTTCTTGACAATCTAAGGTTAGAATAAGTCTGATATCATTAAGTTTGCTCATGAACAGTTGTATGATTTGTTTCATTTTTGCCTCATTTATTTCGAATGGTCATATTTTTATTTGTTTGTAGTAATTAAATAACTTTTGGATAAATGCCTACTCATTGGGTCAATTACCATTACTTTTGGCTAAATACATGTATCTACACTTTTGGCATATATCTATAACTTATGTGTATATTTGTAACATATAATGGTTTCTTTGGGTTTTATAAATACACTTTGGCTTATAATGATAACCTATTACCTTTTCTTTTGGCTTATAACAATTATTTTTGCTATTAACAAAAAGCAACCAATGACGATGCTTTTAAACATGCGTCACATTATTTATTTCATTTACATTATAATTATGTACATAATTACATTAGCATTATATAGAGAGTCTGTATAATTTTATAGATTTTTACCTTTATTTTGATGTTGTTTGATTTGATGATTTATATTATTATATATATATATATATATTTTGCATCCATATTTTTATTTATTTATTTACCAACATTTACATAATAACATTGTATTACAATGAAATTATACTGTATTAGTGAACATGATGGTGTATTAGTATGTGCTGAAACAATTGTTTAATACAGAAGAAAAAAAATCCTATTTTCAAATTTGAGACAGGTAGGACTTGGCAGGAATTTTTTTGTTTTGTTTGAGTTAACTTTATACCTTTATTGTAAACAACTGAGACAAAGCTGTTATTATAAGGATTTTTTACAAACAGAAGTCTACCATAATTCAATATAGATTTGTTCACGGAATCAACCTATCGGATGCTTCATTCAGGGACCTGTTTCCATTCACAATATTTGTGAGTTTTGAGTTTTAATTGATTGGTTTTTTATTGGTCCATCATATTTGAATTTTGACCAATAGAAATCAAGTTTAATATGATAATATGATAATGTCAAAGATAATTATGTTGGCATGTCAATTAATAGTATGGAAATATAATGGATATAAAGAATTATAAATAAGTATCTGAATGAATTATAAATAAGTATCAGAATGAATTATAAATAAGTATCAGAATGAATTATGAATAAGTATCAGAATGAGTTATAAATAAGTATCAGAATGAATTATAATTAAGTATCTGACTGAATTATAAATAAGTATCTGAATGAATTATAAATAAATATCTGAATGAATTATAAATAACCATCTGAATGAATTATAAATAAGTATCAGAATGAATTATAAGTAAGCATCTGAATGAATTGGATAATATACAATAAAATGATCACAATAAATGACTTATTTGATCACAAGTTTAGTGTCTTTCAACCACTGCTATGTTATTTATCTTCAATACTCAATACTATTACTTCCACTTCTGTTACCCATCATTATTTTTGCACCTTTGTACATGGCCAAAATCTTTCCCTTTGTGAAAATAGTTTGCTTTGAACACTTGTTCACTTTCACTGTAATTATAAATACATACATGTACTTATTTCTCTTATTCTTTTAAGTTTTTTTCTATAAAACAAACAGTTCTATTTATCTTATAAGTCAAACTATTAATTGCTCAGTTGTTTGTTTCTTCTCAGTAGTATTAAAATATGTCACTTAATGCCTGGAAAGAATAAACTAGGTTAGGTCTATGCTTTTCATCATATTTTTTTGCTTTTGTTTATTTTTGTATGAATTATAATTTTACATATTATAAATATATCAGTTGAAATCCATTCCATTTTGTCTAAGTTTGATAATATTGTTACTATGATATGATATGTAGGAGGTTAGGTCTAACTCATTTACTCATTCATTACATGTTACGAGTGCCTTAAAGTTTATGTGCTTTTATGGCAATAATTTACAACCGATGCCTCAAATGCAAAGCTAGGCCAGCCTGCGGTTCTATGCTATTTGGCCACGCTACATCTAAAATTTTGAAATATGAGCCGCGAATGATCTGAAATTATGATATAGATTTTGGTCTAGACATACATCAAATCAAACATTTAAATATCGAAAATTCTCTTGTTCTGAGTCATGTTAAAAAACTGCAGTGAATGAGTGGAGTCCCTTTAAAGTCTTGTCTAATTATTTTGCTATTCATCTGTTAGGCATTAGAAATTTTATAGAAGAAAATCAAAAAAAGATGTTGACTGTCTTTGTAATACAAATATATATGATCACTCAATAGCATTAATTTGTCCTAAATTTGCATGTAACTTTGTTTCACCAGTCCGTTATTGTTCGGTTTTTGCATAGTATATCACTCGAAATCCATTCCACTACTTTTTTAAGTACTTATATGTTTATGACAATTGAAATATGGGTAGTTATTTTTGATATATAATATTTAAAAATACTGTTATATGTTTTGTTTATTTTTATATGCATGTTTAAATCTATTTAGGGATCAGTAATTTAAATTGATCACGTGTATTTTGTACCTCACATTTTAATCTTACAGTATCAATTATTCTGGTCTTGTTAGGTAATCGTTTTGTTATTACTAAGTCAGATGCTTCAACATTTTGTTTTTTAATTGTTTAATATAAAAACAGCAGAGTTTATATTGAAAGTTTTTATAAATGCCGTAAATTCCTAATAAAAACTCCTAGGATATTACTTTTCTTAGAAAATGTGTGAGTAGAAGCATTGGGGGTGTTATATGGATGTTATTCGGAACTCGGCAAATGTGTTTTTTTTTATCCAGCTCAACCTTACGTTCAAACAAACTTTTATAACTTCACAGTGCACTACCTGTCACAATAGATTACTTATTTTCGAAGCTGTACTGTAAAAATCTATACCTACAGATTAGCTTTGAAAAAAAAAAAATATTTGTAATTCCGGAGTTAGTCTATTGTTATATTGAATGAGGAATAAGTATGTTAAGACTTTATCTAAGGAGGGTTAAACACATTCAATTTTCTTTATCCATGGGACGTTAGTATAAACATAACATAATTATATGTATACAGTCAATTATTTTAAACAACTTTTATAGACAAAATATCATATCAATACTGAAAACATGAATTGGCAAGTCCATTTATTTGATCTATTTCATCTTTGAACAAAAACAGGGATTGGATTGTAGTAGTTTTTTAAGTAAGGAGCATTTATAAGGAATTTTACAGTATATGTTAGTACCTCATATTTTTCAAAGTTGGTAGTTTAGTAGGTTTTTAAACTATCTGAAATAATAGAACTCATAAATTACATGTATGTACACATATATTTTTCTGAATTATATTGATTGTGTTGATGTAGAATTAAAGTAAATTTGTTAATTTGTCTAGTATTTTCATGGAAACGTACAGTCTTCCTTGAGAAATGAAAACAAGTCATGATTTCTCTGTTGTCCAAAGTCTGTCTGGACTTAGACGTTGAGAATTTTGTGTGCATGCAGTTGTGTGAAATTTGTCGAAAATTTAAAAATATTAACATTTTTTTCTTTTGACAGTATTGAATCAAGGAAAGTTAATTGTAAAGGAGAGGGCACAGTGTTTTGTTATCATTTTGAACTACAATTTTGGCAGATTTATTCAAATTTTGAGCAATCAGCACCCTCAAATATGGAAATTTTTTATTCTGAAAACATTCTTTTCACGGGAGCATGCCTTTGTAAACCTGTAGACATGTTAGGTATACCTTTGATAGTTGTATTACTATCACTAAAAAGAAAGCCAAGAAATATATTCATATACTTGCACCGTGTATCAAATATTTAAGTTATGATATTTTTTACATATGCTTTTGTAACACCAAATATTAAAGGGATATGCACCATATTGTGTGAATCTTTGAACCAATGTTTATAATGATCATCACAAATGATAACATGATATATATACTTTGCTTTAGATAATCAGTATACCATGCTAGTTATATTTTCATTTGATTATGTTACATGACAGTTTGGACAAAATCAATTTCATCTATTTCTCAATTTTACACACAAAAACCAAACCTGATTGATCATGAAATTAAAGTAAGAATCACAATTATTGTTGATTAGAATTTACACAAATTAGAATTATATGTATTTACATTTTCTCTAATTCTGAGTATTGTTGAGAAATGATCAATTGTAAGTTGGGTTTTTTATGTCACTGTATAAATAAATTTACCTGTACCTGTATCAGTTTAATGATGAAATTGAGCTGATGTAAATTAAAATGTCCTGATTCTTTTTCATATACATTATCATGTCACATTGCCTGCCATCATTTGTATCGCTGTTTCTAATAAATATTGACATGCTTAAAGATGTTAGTTTGTTTTTAATTTTTTCATATGATGTAAGAAAGACATCTTAATCTGAATACACACAAACAATGGCCTGTTGACCCCTTACCCAGTAACTGACCAGTTTTCTTGCAGCCAGAGAAGGGTCGAGTTGATACTCAAATTTTTGTGATCAACTTGTAAAGAAATACTCTTTTTATTCCAAAATAAATAAGAACTGTTGAGTGAAAACAGTTTAAGGAAGTCTTGTGTAACACTGGGCAAAGTTTAAAATGTTGCAGTCTCTGACTGAATCTCTTAAACTGCAGAGGGCTTTGCAACTGCTACGTACCTTCCGTGCCTCTTATAATTTTCACTGGTTAAGCCAAATACAACATTCCAATGAGAAAATTACTGTATATGATTAAAAGAACAATGTTTAGTACAATGTTTATCATGAAACTTTCAATGTGACGCTTTTTTGCCATTGACCCTGCCATTTCCTAAAAACAAATGCAAGGAAACATCTCTGCCTTTCCTAATTTTTGAATTATTGCCCTTTGTTTATTTTTACACTGTGAACTTTGTCTGGGACATAACTCTAAAACTATAAGAGGTATCAACATGAAACTTTTTAGGTAGATAGATCTTATTGAGTAGGTGTGCACTGCACAAGAACCGTAACTCTGCCTTGCGGTATTTTTGAATTATTGCCCTTTGTTCAGTTTAACACTTTGAATTTTGTCTCGGACATAACTCTAAAACTATAAGAGGTATCAACATGAAACTTTGTAGGTAGATAGATCTCATTGAGTATGTGTGCAGTGATCAAGAACCGTAACTCTGCCTTGCCTAATTTTTTAATTATTGCCCTTTGTTTATTTTTACACTTTGAACTTTGTCCAGGACATAACTCTAAAACTATAAGAGGTATCAACATGAAACTTTGTAGGTAAATGGATCTCATTGAGTAGGACTGGTGTGCAGTGCACAAGAACTGTAATTCTGCATTGCCTAATACTTGAATTATTGCCCTTTGTTTATTTGTACACTTTGAACTTTGTCCGAGACATAACTAAAACTATCAGAGTTATCAACATGAAACTTTGCAGATAGATAGATCTCTTAGAGTAGGATTGCAGTGCGCAAGAACCATAACTCTGCCTTGCCTAATTTTGGAGTTATTGCCCTTTGTTCATTTTGACACTTTGAACTTTGTCCTGGACATTACTCTAACATTATAAGAGATATCAACATGAAACTTTGTAAGTAGATAGGTCTCATTGGGTAGAATGGCAGTGCTAAAGAATTATAACTCTACCTTGCCATATTTTGAAGTTATTGCCCTTTGTTTATTTTTACTTTTTGACTTTTGTCTCGTACATAACTCTAAAACTATTAGAGATATCAACATGAACTTTTGTAGGTAGATAGATCTCATTGGATAGAACTGCAATGCTAAAAAACCTAAACAAAGCCTTGTTTAGTTTTGGAGTTATTGCCCTTTGTTCATTTTTACACTTTGAATTTTACCCGGGACATAACTGACTGGAACTATGAGATATCATCAGGATTTTTATAGATAGATAGATCTCATTGAATAGAAGTGCATTGCACAAAAACATAACTCTGCCTGCCTCACGAATTCGAAAACCTAGCTAAACGCCGTTTTCCGGTACTTTCTGTACATAGCTCTGGGGAATTCACGTAATGGAGCGTAATAGCGAAGTCAATGTTTTCGGACTTTTTTTAAACTAAACTGAAATAAAACACTTAATTCTTTATAAGAAAATAATTAAATATCATTGTATGAATAATTCCATAAAAAAAGAAAGTAAATACACAAGTTTACGCAGAAAAAAACCTTATTTACTATCGAAGATTCCACTGAGTCTGTTTGAATTTTATTGATTTTCATTATAAAAAAATTGTTTTTTTGAATAATTTGCAATAGATATTAAACGAATATTGATAATTTTCAAAAACATCAATTTATTTCACCTTAAACGGTTAAATAATGATAGAAAAATAGACATATCTCGTAACTGTGTTATGTACTTCATTTGGTGTAATTCCCCAGAGCTAAAACGGTAATGTACCGGAAAACGGTGTTTAGCTAGGTTTTCGAAAAGGTTGGAGTTTTTGCCCTTTGTTCATTTTTTTTTATACTTTCCTGTGTCCAAAACGTTCTCTGGTAGCATCACCCGGTTCAACCGGTTCTTGTTTCTAAATAGAATTTCGAGATTGGATCGGAGGTTGTGAAGCTTTCATATCGAGATTTGCTGACAAGAATAATAAACGTTTCAGTGGGGAATAGAGAAAGATGACAACGATTTTACAAAATGTTACAACTTTTTACCATGCCAAATAAAAGATATGCAATATTTGGACATTGTTGATTCCAACCGATTAAAATGGTAAGGAGGTAAATATATTACTCAAGGGACACGTATTTTTATTAGCTTAATCATATTTTCCAAGCTACGGTGTGTCTATAGCTCATAATTTAAATCGACACATGATTTCGCGATGTAAATGGAAAGCGAGTAAATTTCGGATCCTCATTTTCGGACATATGTATATTCTTTTTTGTCTCATTTACCTGAAAAAGAAAGGAAACATCTTTGAAATAATACATTAATAGAAAAAACCATAACAAAATAAAAAATGTAAAAGTTAGATAATTGCCGCAAAATTATAACAGCAAAAACGATTACACAAATTATCATTATTATATATTATTTCAATGTTTTCAGGAACAGCCTTGTCCAAATAATTAGCCGTGAAAAAAACAACTTATTTAACATTTTATATTTATCATTATTACATTTTATATTATCAAGGCCTAATAACGTAACATTGAAAATGAAAAATGTCAGATTAATAAACAGGAAATATGTTATTTCTAGGTCTTAATTAATTAGGACTTAGAGGAACAGCCTACATACTTCCTAATATTGTCTTATTGTCTACACATAGCTAGTTCCATGATAGCTATATTGAGCATATATTTATTACTTATAACACATACACGCCAGATTGCTTTTACTTTTAACAAGCCCTCTAAATTCCCCACTGTTTTTTTTCAATATATATGATATGTATAAGTGACTTCACTGAAAAGACAGAAAAGGAGGATAGATATTTTCATCCAATGTTAATAGGATAAGAGTTGTCAACCTTATTTTATAAATAAGTTGTCCCTGTTGTAAATTAACTTTGAATAAAAACAAATCAAATAAAAATTCATTAATTGTCGGTATGCATTAGACATTTCACAAAAACATTTAATAGCTATGTATAGGTTTTGACCGACATGCACATAAAGACTCATCAAAGAAGCAGTCATAATTAAACATTATAAAAAGGTTTGAAAGACAAATGGTATTACAGGTTAAACTAATTGTAATACATGTACCATAGTGTGGGATATTAATACTTCTATCTTTATAATAAAACAATAATAAGTAATAATATTGACATGCTAGAGATGACATTCTCTGGTCATTGAAAAAGGCCAACTTCAGTGGTGGTGTGGCCGAGTGGTTAAAGCATCAGACTTGTAATCTAAGGATTGCTGGCTGCGCGAGTTCAAACCCCATCAGGGGCCCAGTCGTTGTTTCCACAAGCATGAAAATTTACATGCATTGATTAGTACTAGAAGGTTCCAGGAATGGATTCGAGTGTTTCAACGAGCATGGGCTCATATCCTGTCAGGGGCCAGCCGTAGTTTCTGTAAGCAAGAAAATTAACACACACTGCTTAATACTGGAAGGTTCTAGCAACGGATTTGAGTGTTTCAATAAGCTTAATAGTTATAGCTTCCAACACAATCCAACTAAAATAAATAAGTATATACTAACTTCATTCATAGCAGATTGATCCAGGTGTTATTTCATAAATCATGGATGGCCTTGTATACATCACATTAATGGTTAAATTTTGGAACGGTTTATACCTGTAACAAATTAATGAAAGTAAGTTCAGCTACTCAAAAGTTGAGATACTGAGTTATTTGATGTGTAATGTATGGCTTCTATGATTCTTGCTTAAATTAACAGTATCTCAGTATATACTTAAGATGACTTATGTTAACAGCAACATTAAAAGCAAATTTCTTGTGTATTTCAGGATCCACCATGTGGTTCTTGTTTCAACAACAGATATGCTTTCCACACACTGGATATAGATGGCATTACAAATATCTTATCCCTCAGAAATTTATGTTTCAAGAGACTTTCAAAGAACAGTTCACTATTTGACACAGAACATTTTTGTTGTAAGTGCATTCATATTATAAGTTTTGGTATAAAAGGCAGTTTTTTTTGTCTGGTTATAAGGCCCTACAATTGTATATAAATTGTTGTTTGTTTATATATAACCCATGCTGCTAGGTAAGGTTATATTGCAAACAACTATTTATATTATTATTATATGGTCATATAACCTGTCAGATATCTTTATAATAAATTTATAATACAGCAAACTGCTTCTATTTTTATAAAAAATGAAATAAATTAATAAATTGACAACAGCCTTGTATATAGTTTTTATAATATTATTATTGTTTACCCTTATCCAATGAAATTTGGCAATATGCCACTATTCATATCAGGTAAATTTGACTGTAGCCAGTAGCCACTTTGATATCAGTAACTATTGAAAATGATCCTGCCTATAGTTTAAGCATTGGCTGATATTCATTATCCTGTAACACATTATTTTTATGGTTTTATATACAAATTATGATGCTCAAATTAAGATTTATCGATATTGTAAGTTTCAAAAAACATTATTTATAAAGATATTACCGAATTTAATATTTCATGTAAATAAAGGGAGGTAATTAGAATTTAGTTTTCTATAAATTCTAAGTCAATTTTTCCAATAAGAAATGAATGCATATAATTTAATGATTACCTTAAATATGTACAAATATTTGCAATACATATTTTACATATTCTTCCATGTTTGAAAATTGACAAATTTGCATAATTACATACATATATAATTCAATGAAGAGTGATTTGCAATCTCAATTACAAAACATACAGGATCTTTAATGAGTTTTTTACACAACAAATTAATTTAACAATGGAGCATTTGTTTTTATCTGTTAGTGTGTGTTTTCTTCTCTGTTAATGTGTGTGTAATTTTTTTATGTAAGAATTCTAGGATTATACCATGTCTGTAATTGAATCTTTCTTATAATATGCATTTTCTGTCACTGTCCATTATTGATATTTGATCAGAGAAGCAGTTTAACTGTTTACCATGCTAAACAAGGTCATATTATGAATAGGTTACAATTTACCAACATGAATTTCTTCTTGTTGGATTTGATTTTTACTGTCACATACAGGCCTAGGATCATGTTAAACTTAGATGCAGTTTAGATTCTATATAATATTATAGCGTTCATTCATGCTTGTAAATTGTAATATAGAAATTTTTAACATACATGAGCCGCGTCATGACAAAACCAACGTAATGCGTTTGCAACCAGCATGGATCCAGATTAGCCTGCTCATCCGCGCAGTCTGATCAGGATCCATGCTGTTCGCTTACAGACCCTATAACAAGTAGAAAAACTGATAGCAAATAGCATGGATCCTGATCAGACTGCGCGGATGCCCAGGCTGGTCTGGATCCATGCTGGTTGCAAACCCATTATGTTGGTTTTGTTGTGACGCGGCTCATATACTTTTTGATTTAGTACTAAGTGTTAATGCATAGGAGATTGAAACATTTTCTCAACTGCACAATAATTTTAGTCCTTTTCATTATACACATGTAGATGCTTGAGCTCTGAATAGTTTGAGCCTTTGTTGGCATGCACATACTTTAGACAATGACAATATAATTTATTTTTCAGATCTTCCATTTGAAATTTTAGAAGATTTTAAATGGTTTTTAAGCGTACATGACCTATTGAAGTACAGCTCTATTTTTGAACAAGCAGGTACAAACTTTTTTCTTTGTCTGAAATTCTCATGCGATGAACTTGTAATCTTTCATGTGAAGAAGCTTTCTAGTGGAACCTCAGTACTTCTACTTAAGTGCCAGCTTGTGTATGAAAAAATATACAAATAGGGAATCCAAGATCTTCCTATTCCGTTTATGCTGGAATATTGTCATATAACTTTTATGTTGTCTATGTGACTTAAACTTGAGAAGGGATGTCCATGGATGAGTGGTTAAGGTTGCTGACTTCAAACCACTTGCCTCACACTTCTGTTGGTTTGAATCTCACCAGGGACTTGGAATTCTTTCATGTGAGGAAGCTATCCAGCTAGCTTACAGAATGTCAGTGGTTCTACTCAGGTGCCTGTTTGTGCCTGAAATAATGCACAGAGGGACACCTGAGGTCTTCCTCCACCAGTAAAGCTAAAAAGTTGCCATATGACCTGAACCGTGTTGAAGCGACGTTTAACACAACCAAAAAAAAAAAAATTAAATAAACTTGATAAAAAATGAATTTATAACAAGTAAACTAACTTATAATTTGAAAATAGGCATTGCTTATCGTGACATTTTGATGGTGCCTCAAGTTTAGGTAGTTATGAAGTGAAAAAATTATAGAACATAATAGACCATCTGTATTACAATATCTGTATACTGGTAATATCTATTTGAAATCATTTATAATAGATGTCATATTTTACTGTTAAGTATTTTTGTATGAATGTGGTCATCATGGTCTAATTCATAAAAGTTACGGATTGTTGATCTCAAAACTAAATATATCAAATTATTAAAATATGTTTTTGTGTAGTGTAAAATAATTATTTTAAAAGCAAACTGTGGTTGATAAATCTTGACATTTCTGATGTGTTTTGTCAGTACAGCCCTTGAAATGACCATGGATATTGGAAATTTGAGTTATCATGAGGAATTGTGCTAATGTCTTTAGGTGAATGTTATATGCACAGTTAAATACATGTACATACATAATGATAAACAATTATTATTTATAACAGATGAGTTTTATTATGCTGTTACATAGGAATTGATACAAATGATGTATGGGAGAGACATTTCTTGAAGAGATATGGGCAGATGGCCGTGAGAAAAAGATACTTTGTATGGAGGGAACACCATGTGGCAGATCCAATATGTGATACTTACCAGGCCCAGTATTTACAAAATCACTGTAGTGAACTATTAGTATCCTTGTGGACTGTGGGTAAGTGCAGGACTTCTTTCTATGAGCCGTGTCACGACAAAACCAACATAATGGTTTTGCGACCAGCATGGATCCAGACCAGCCTGCACATCCGCGCAGTCTGATCAGGATCCATGTTGTTTGCTATCAGTTTCTCTACTTGTTATAGGGTTTGTAAGCGAACAGCATGGATCCTGATCAGACTGCGCGGATGCGCAGGCTGGTCTGGATCCATGCTGGTCGCAAACCCATTATGTTGGTTTCGTCGTGACACAGCTCATATCATCATGTTATGTTTTCTTTGACTTTAAAGTAAACATTTTGTTAAAAATTTTTAACAAGTTCATAGACCAGTTTGACTAAATATTGTTTTATAAAATATATGACAACAAAATTAAGTTTTGTTAATGCCCAAATTAAAAAAAAATAAAAATGGTTTGCACTTCATAAGATCACCCCTGGTGATTGGCGTACAGCCCTGTCCAGTGCCTACCTTCTAGATGACTGCATAAATTCAAATATTACTTGACAATGTGTTGTCTCTAGGTCAATGCGGAGGAAGGTAGTCTAGTACTGGTGTAACTCTCCAGGAACAATGGTTAGGAAACTACCCGCCTAAATGACTGAAATACTGTTGGGAAAAGGCCTAAAATGAAACAAACAAACAAAAACTAGGTCAATGGTCAATGTCACACGTCAGACTTATTTTAATATAATTATTCTGAGGCAGTATGTCCATAGCAAAACTCAGGTCCCTGAGGTCAAGGTAGTCTTGAATTTAGGTATTACTTAGTCTTGCCAGTCAAATCTAAGTCAATATATGCAAGGTCAAGGTCACTAGATTAAGTCAAGGTCACCAGATAAAGTACATTGTTTGTGAATATATAATACTAATTGGAAGATTCACAAGTGTTTCATACATTTATTTAGATTTCTCTATGAAAACTTTGATTGAAATCTTTGATCTTAAATGTGAAAGTTAAAACAAATTTTTCAAATTACTCCAAATTTATTTATTTTGTAACATTAATATACATTAACTGTGAGAATTATTTTTTCCCCTTTACTTTCAGAAAATGACTGCACATGCCAAGAGAGTCTTTGCTTTTATCTGAAATTTGCACCAAGTTTGATTTTCCGGTGGAAAAGATCCGGTTCTTTCCCTTCCATCGGAGTCAAGAAGCTGATGTCAGACCTTGTTCAACATTTAACTGTATGGGGAGCACCAACATTTACATATAAAGAAGTCAATTTTTTGAGATCATGTAAACAACTAAAAAGTGTTTCTTTTAAGAATTTTAATTTATTCAGCAAGTATTATTGCTGTGAGGAAGATCTTGATGACGATGATGATAGTGATGATGATAATAATAGTGAAAACCACTCTAAAAAACATTGTTTATCTTTAAAAAGTTCTGTTGAAAGTGTGAAGGCCAGCCTAGGATCTGATGATATACAATTTCTTCTGAGTGACAGATTCTTTGATAGCAGTATTAAAAGATTGAATATAATATCATATGAAAATATAATTTCAGGTAGGATTTTAATTATTATTTACATCAACTTTGTATTTGTATATCCTACATTGGATATTATCAAGGGGAGCGGTGGCCTAGTGGTTAATGTTTTTGCCTGTCAACCCAGAGATCATGGGTTCGAGCCCTACTCGGGTCACGATATGTTTCTTCATATGATGCCAGTACTGGTCAGTTCCAGGAAGCGGACTCAAAGTGACTAATATAAGTTGCAAGAACTTGTTTCGCAATTGAGCTAAAATAAATATGTTTAAACCTTGGATATTGTACATTGGATATTTACAACTTACAGAATAATTTAGGGGTGTTTTCGACTGAGTGATTAAAGTCTCAGACTCAAGGTCTCTTGTCCCTCACCACAAGGTTTTAATTCGTCCAGGGTTATCAAGTTCTTGTCCACCGGCTTAGCACAACATTGGATTAGTTACCCCGGGGTTGGTGGTTTGATCCTGGGGCATGGCCTAATTTCTCTATGACAGTTGATCTACGACATATAGTTTAATCACAGGGCTTTAAATTTCAATATATATATAAAAATAGAGATAAAGGCTTTATTTTCTTATAAATACATATTTAGTGATTCAGTGATTGAATATCAAGTTTCTTTGGTTTAATCAATGTCATTTGAGCCGTGTCACGACAAAACCAATATAATGGGTTTGCGACCAGCATGGATCCAGACCAGCCTGCGCATCTGCGCAGTCTGGTCTGTTCGCTGTTCGCTTACCAACCCTATTACAAATAGAGAAGCTGATAGCAAACAGCATGGATCTTGATCAGACTACACGGATGCGCAGGCTGGTCTGGATCAATGCTGATCGCAAACGCACTATGTTGGTTTTGTCATGACACGGCTCATTTGTCTCTCACTGCTGATGTAAATCTCATGTGGGATTAGTAGTTGTTCACTTGCTGGTTAGTTATCCAGTGTTCAATTGCTGAGATATGTCCAAAAATGAGTTAAAACCGGTTAAAAACAAAAACAAACAAGCATTGAATTATTTGTACTGTAAAAATTGTTTGTACCCCCTGATTAGCTGGGAAAACCTAAAAATATTACAGTGTAAGTCTATTAAAGATAGAAATATGCTGATTTTAATACAAATACAGTATAACAAAGATTACATTATTTAGTTTGTCAGCTGCATGGTAAAGGTTGGTGTAACAAGGCTCTCAGAAAGTTGACTCATTTAACATTGACCGGGGAGATATTGTCAGAGTGTCTTGTAGAGGAACTTATTGACAGTTTATTTGTAGTTTACAGGTAAGTTTTTCACATTTAACTTTTCATATATTATTTTAATGTTGTTATATTTAGTATTTTTTTGCTCCATTTTGTTTTTTCTTCAAAAAATATGAAAAGTTAACCCATTACGTTATATACACGCCTTTTAACGCCTTTTTCCCCCCCCCCCCCTTTTTGTTGTCTCAAATGATGAAAAAATGCCTTATTTAGGCCCCCAATTACTTGTTTTTGTTTGAGAAATGTTGTTAAAAAAAGTGACCTCTTTTTCGGCGCAGCCCCCCAACCAAAAGATACATCAAGGGGTTGCCAGAAGGGGATTGTGCCCCCTTCTATTTTGGGGGTTTGAAGGGGGGCAGAGTCCCCCTCATCGCCAAGAAAATTTTGGACTTGTGAGAGGCTATAAATGACCCCAGATTGATAATAAGGTAACGTGTAAGCAACACTGAAAAGCATTTGACTATATCTCAATCCATTGAGAAGTTGCAGCACTTTGTAATCAATTTTGATGGAAAAAAACAACGCAAAATAGTGATTTTTGGCAATTTTATGATGTCCCCTCGTTGCCATGGTAACAGAAAATTTAAGTCTGAGCATGTTGTTGCAAGGGCAATGGTCCAGTCAACATTTGTGCCAAGTTTGATTAGTGTTGAAGCATTTTTATAGTATTATAGCAATTTGAACTTGTAACGGGAGACTTTTCAATGAAAACAGCCATTTTTAGCTCACCTGTCACAAAGTGACAGGGTGAGCTTTTGTGATCGCTTTTCGTCCGGCGTCCGTCCGTCCGTCCGGCGTCCGTCGTCCGTCCGTAAACTTTTACTTTAAATGACATCTCCTCATAAACCACTAAGCCAATTTCATCCAAACTTCACAGGAATGTTCCTTTGGTGGTCACCTTTAAAAATTGTTCAAAGAATTTAATTCCATGCAGAACTCTGGTTGCCATGGCAACCGAAAGAAAAAACTTTAAATATCTTCTTTTAAAAAACCATAAGAGCTAGAGCTTAGATATTTGGCATGAAACATCTTCTAGTGAGTGTCTACCAAGTTTGTTCAAATAAAAGCCCTGGGGTCAAAATTGGCCCCGCCCCGGGGGGGTCATTGATTTTCCCAATATGCATATAGTAAAAACTTAAAAAATCTTCTTTTAAAGAACCAAAAGAGCTAGAGCTTAGATATTTAGCATGAAACATGTTCTAATGGGTGTCTACCAAGTTTGTTCAAATAAAAGCCCTGGGGTCAAAATTGGCCCTGCCCCAGGGGGTCATTGATTTTCCCTATATGCATATAGTAAAAACTTAAAAAAAATCTTCTTTTAATGAACTCAAAGAGCTATGGCTAAGATATTGAGCATCAAACATGTTCTAATAGGTGTCTACCAAGTTTGTTCAAATAAAAGCCCTGGGGTCAAAATTGGCCCCGCCCCAGGGGGTCATTGATTTTCCCTATATGCATATAGTAAAAACTTAAAAAATCTTCTTTTAAAGAACCAAAAGAGTTAGAGCTAAGATATTTAGCATGAAACATGTTCTAATAAATGTCTACCAAGTTTGTTCAAATAAAAGCCCTGGGGTCAAAATTGGCCCCACCCCGGGGGGGTTATTGATTTTCCCTATATGCATATAGTAAAAACTTAAAAAATCTTCTTTTAAAGAACTCAAAGAGCTATGGC